CACAACTCCTAGAGAGGCCCACAAACTGGGATTTAGCACTTGCAAGGTAAGTTTCCTTATAAAAAAAGTGAAGTAAAAATCCTAAAGTTGCACAACTTGTTTATAGGCGAAAGAAAAGCCACTATTAACTCCACTGCGAAAGAAAACTCGGCTTAGATGGGCTAAAGAACATAGACAATGGACACCTCAACAATGGTGTGCAATACAATGGAGTGATGAGGCCCGATTCGAAGTTTGTGTTGGTGATAGTCGCAGTAGAGTTATTCGCAAAAAAAACGAATCATTCCATGTTGACTGTCTGAAGAGAAAAGTGAAATTTCCAGCATCCATTATGGTCTGGGGCAGTATGTCATCAAAAAGAGTAGGAAAACTTCATTTTATTGATGGAAATGTGGATACAAACAAATATTTGGCAATTTTAGAAGAATCGCTTTTACCAGTGATGGAAGAATGTTTGACATCCGGCCAAGATTTTGTGTTTCAGCAAGATGGTGCAGCGTGCCATACCTCAAAAAAGGCTATAAAATGGATGGAAGAAAATAATGTACCGCTTTTGAAATGGGTTTCTAGCAGTCCAGATCTGTCACCTATTGAAACTTTCTAGCACGAGATGAAAAAGGTTCTACGACAACATCCTGCTCGTACAATCACCGAACTGAGCCAAAAGCTTCAAGAAATATGGGATTGTTTTACACCAAATTTTTGCCAAAACTCGGTTAACACTATGCCCCAAAGAATTTCAGCCGTAATAAAAAATAAAGGTAATGTTACCCAATGGTAATCTTTCAATTGTTGCTTTGTTATCTTCGCGCATTTATTCGCACATTGTTTATTTGTTCAGATGTCCTATTATTTATATGTATATTTTACGACTAAAATGTATTTGAGAAAATAAATTGTTTTAGAAGTACATAGTTTCGTCATATTTAGTTTATAAAGGCATATTTTGGTACAAATCTTGAAGTGGGCCAACTGAAGTGGGAAGGGGCTCGTATGTCTTCATGTTCAGTTATCGACCAGTGTTCTTGAGACAGGTTGGACTTAAGGTTCTCAAGGTTTTCATTTTTTATTGTTCTTATCCGACGCAACTTGCTATTGTCTTTAGTAGATTCGCTGGTTTACGTGATGGAGATCGAGAGCATTTAGGCAGTGTGGTCGGATATATGTGGGTCAAATACTGTACAAGTGATGAATTGTGGACTGAGATTTGTCGTCATGTAGTTAGTCTATTGACGTATTGGATATTGTGCTATTCCTGTTGATAGCGTGTAGGTTCGTTGCAGTGATTTACAAGGTTGAACGAATTTAAAATGTCTTGAAGCATCATGGTGTTTACAGTAGGGCGAAAATAGTCAATGTTTAGATCGCCGCAAAGAGAAAGGTTCTTATGTTACCAAATGGCGGACGGTATACACATATTACAATTAGGTTCGTTTTTGTGGTTTGCAGAGTAACTATTGTATCACAGCATTCGATGTGTCGTTCTACGGAAAACTTCTTGACATATTCGAGTTCCTTGATTCACGAATACAGCACAACCACCATGAATATTTTGGCTTCTGCAGAAAGTTGCTGCGTTTGTATACCCCTTAATATTGGCAACACTTACTGTACCAGACGTCTGCCATGTTTCCATGAGGCATAGTACATCGAGAATGTCATATTTGTTCTGTATGCTACATACATTAAGCTGTACTATTTTGGATGTGTTAATTTTTGTGAGGCTGTTCGACAAAAAAATGATTTCTGTACGTCCTTAATTCCTTTCGCTTGACTTGAGGTCGACGGTTGTTTCAATGGCGGCAGGAGATGTTCCTTGTTGACCGGATGTACAGAGCTTGTTAAAGATGTTCTCTGCAACATTGGGAATTCCTGTATGACCTGATTGGCTTGACCACACTCATCGGCAGACTTTTTTCTAACAGACAATATCGCGTTCACAACGTCGGGATTTTTGCATATTTTATCCGCGTTCACTTTTTTTGAGGTAATGATATCTTTTATTATGTTGCATATGGTGTGTTCACCAGCATTATTAAAGATGTTTGAGTTTTTCTTGAAGTGGTAAAGCTGAAGGCAACTGTTTATATCTAAGAGGTTTGCGTTATCTTCCCTTGCAGTATAACGTATTTGATCATTAATACCTTGAATTATACTATTTAGTACGGGACGTCTGCATTTCCACTCTGGAACTGTTGCTACTATGGTGTTAGTGTGTCCCATATTTCTAAGAATACTCCTTAGCGACTTACTGTATATGTAACCTCTAACATGAGCATCACTGGATCCTGCCAGTATGAGTATATAGTCCAACTTGGGTGAAATCAGACGATAGATTTAGTGCGTCCTTCGTTATGTCATGCGACTGGGCATTTGGGCTCAGCATTGCCTCAACTTTTATTTGGCCGAGTCGCAGGATGCTTCGAAAAATATGTACGTATATGTAAGTTTCGCCGGTGTTCGACTGCAAAAATTAGTAACTTAGGCTTTCGTGGTTCATTTCTTTTAATATTATTCGGAAATGTTTTAGACATTTGGACATGATTCTTACTTTCTCAATTATTCCTTTGAGATGCTCTATCGTTTTATCTTTGTTCAGGACTTCGTTATTTAACTTTGCGATTTTGACTTTCAACTTTGCAATGAGATTTCCATTCTTTGCTAATTCCGAGGCTAGCTTATTCCTACCCCACTCTTCCTGGGTGTAAGTTTTATCATCCACAGGCTGTCAGCTGTCCATGTTTGGCGCTTGTGGTCGCACGAAGGAAAGCTATCTTACTAGCTAGTCATATGTTTCCACTGTGGAACTAAGCAGCTAGAATGTTGAGTCAAAACTAAAACCATATTTTGACATTACATTTTTGGATCAATTGATTTTGAATACTTTTCTTTCCCTCCTATTACAAATAGTCTAAACATATTAGCAAATTTCCCCTAAATGTAAATTCTTGTTTTATTGGTGCAAGGGGGTATCTAAAACATGGACGCATAAAATGGGTACACCAGTTTTTGTGGGAAAACTTTTTATTTGACAACAATCGTTCGACTATTCATAAACTTTTGAAGCATCTTAATTTCGAATGGAAGAAACGAGGTCGTAACAGCTTACTTATGGATAGAGAAGAAATTGTTCTGTGGAGGACAGAGTACCTGACCAAAATTAAATCATTCAGGGATCAGCACAGGAAGATCTATTACCTGGACGAAACCTGGATTAACGCTGGGCACACTACTCCGAAGGTATGGGTTGACAAATGGACTGTCGACCGGATTGAAAAATGCAGCCGGTAAATAGATCGAAGTAGTTCACGGTATCAATTTTTGCGCACAATATCTCTATCTTCGTAACTACAAGACGTGCATGTGTACTTAGCGGATTTCATCTTTCTAGGCAAAGGAAAAAGGCTCATTATTTGCCACATTGGGGTGTAGATGGCTTCGTGGATGACGGCTTATGGTCTTTTGAGTAAAAAAAACACTGACTACCATGAAGAGATGAATGGGGAAGCATTCGAGAAGTGGTTTTCAGGCGTTTTACCACGTCTCGAAGACAATTCTGTGGTTGTTTTGGATAATGCTCCCTATCATTCTCGCAAAATAGAAAAAATCCCAACTTCAGCTTCTAGGAAATCAGACATTCAGAGCTGGCTCCATTCCAAAAATATAACTTTCGACCCTTCTTTACTGAAAGTACAACTATTAGATATTGTGAAACAACACAGACCAAGACATGATAAATATGTCATAGATGAAATGGCCAAAGCACACCACAAAACAGTACTCAGTTTGCCGCCTTACTACTGTGAGCTCAACCCCATTGAGCTCATATGGGCAGATGTTAAGAATTTTGTTGCTGCACACAATAGAACATTTAAATTTTCTGACATGCAAGAGCTGTTCAGAATTGCTATACAGAGGGTCACACCAGAAAGATGGCAAAAAGGTGTGCAGCATGTTCAGGAGAAAGTGGAGGTAGCAATGTGGGAGCTGGACAACATAATTGAGAGAGATTTTGAATCCATCATCATAAACATTAATGACGATAGCTCTTCAAGTGAGTCTGAGTAAGTCTCGCGTTTTTGTTTTGTCACAGAATACATATTATGGGAATCCTAGTTATAGTGAAATATTAACTTACAGATACACTACAGACAATGCAAGTCCGAAGTGCAGCTTCAAAACCTATTTTCAATTGATTGAACAGCCTTATATTTATTCCATGTAAAAAAGTGTCATCTCTACCCCTCGTTGACTACGGATTCATTGTGCATAGTGAGCAGCTGGTTACCTCTGGTATGTATTTTTCCATGTTGCCTAGTTTGAAAAATCTGTACAAAAACTTAGCATCCCTTCAAGAATAAAAATTTGATTTTGCGACACCCTTAACTATAACTACTTCACTATATTAGATAATTTCGTTAAATACTGTCATCTTTGTTTTACAACACGTTGGTGGTAGTCCATCATTCGGAGGTAGCCCTGAATGCGACTGTGTACGCCGTCCTTGCTTTTGGCAATCACGCATCCATTCTATCTTGGGTGTAAATACGCTATAGTTTGATCTATAGATTTGTTTAGGACAATTACTAATGGTACTCCTCCTGCATATATATACCATATACATCGTAGTTTGAAGAAATCTCATTTCATTTCTTTCACTTTACTTTCCATTTTTTATTCCAGTTTTTCACCTAACTATTTAAAAAAAATGTTTTTACTTAACTTAGCGCACTTACATCCATTTTCAAACGTGTGACCATACAGTATATTCTGTTCAGTTTTGACCAAATCGGCACAGTGGCTACTGAGGTTACGTAATGACAAAGAAGACGGGCGTATCTTCGCCAGTAGAGGCTAAAAACTATTTTTCAACTATTTTTTAAGCAAACGATATTTGTCATCCATTGTCAATGCCATAAAAGTCGTCTTCCTAGAGAAGATAATGAACTAAATATAAAAAACTGACAGACAAAATGGATAAAAGTAGTGCTCGCATGTACCTGTGGTGGTGGAGGCGGTCCTTTGTTTACTGTCGGCGTCGTCTTATGAGGCGGGGGCGGCGGAGGTGACGGTGACGCAGTATTTGACGGCAACGGCGGGGGCAGTGACGTCGGGGGAGGGGGCGGTGCGTGGTTTGGCTTCACTGCCGCGTTCACCTTGCTCGGTGGAGGAGGCGGCGGCGGTAGAGGGCTGCTCGGGCTCTGACTCGGAATCTGAAAATAAGACAACAAATACGAATTGTTTATCTCTTTTTGGCCAACATTTAATAATACAATTAATTCATCTAAAACTTCCTGTGGTTTTCATGTCGATAGTCCCCCATGTTTGTTTGGCCGATCAAACCACCTATATTTGAGATTCTTCTTTAAATTAGTAAAGGTTTCGGTCAGAACCAGGGGGTTGTAGAGGTAACATACACGAGTTTGTACCCTGGTTTGAGTGACATCTGATGATAGCGCCAAACACTATAATGTCATCTGTCTGTTTCATTTGATAACGTTACCTACCGGGGTCCCTAACAGGTGGTTCACCCCTATAACTTTCTTTATTTTTAAAGATACACAATTGAAATTTTGTATGTAGGTATATCACATGAATAGGCACTGTTCGACGTTTTCAATTGTTAACTATCACTTCTGGTTTAGCCGGAAATGACTTTAACTTGGCAACTGTATTTTTTAATGAATAATTCTAATATCGAATACATATTTTTTTGAGTTAGCATAATTAACTACAGCCTGTTTAAATTTGTTTATAATTATAATGCATGGAATATCTATGTTGTATAAAATAAAACGGGTGTGACGAGGTATCATAGTGTATTAGAGCAAATTCAATTTTAATGATGATGATGATTGATTATCATAAATATCGTTATAATTTACTATAATTGTTCTTGTATCACAAAATAGCAAAATATTGAAATGCGTATACGAATATCGTTATCTTAATTCGGATATGGTTATATCTGAATTTTAATGCACGCCTCATCTCTAGCCGACAAAGAGGCGCAAGAAAGGAAGGTTTCCATCTACAGACCTTTCTTTTTGTTGTATAATTTCTAATATGGTTTCTAACGTTTTTTCTAAAGCAAAAGCAACACAATACATTCGTCTAAGCCAGATAAAGATGTTTAAAATAATTGTAAGCCAGAAACATCTTTATTTACCTTGAAGGACGATATGCGAATTAGGTACAGCAGCAAAATCATGTGACAATGATGGAAACTAATTAAGGAGTTTGTGGAAATTAACATACACCTCAATGCCAACCGACATATTCTTTTTTTTTTCAATTTTTTGAATACGGTTCTTCATCAACAAGGTGGGTTTATGATACTTAAAAACGCTTTCTAATTGGTCATCAACGATCCGGATCATAGGTTTCGATCTCTGCATAAAGTGGAAAAATATATTTTTGTAGCTAAGCCAGAATAATTTCTTGATTTATTATGGGGATTGGCGGCCCTTCTTAGACAACTCATATATTTTTTCGCTAGTTTGATAGGTATTTTAGAAGAAATCGACTACATTCATTTGATCCATTAGTACACTCTATTTTCTTTTTTGAATGCATGCAAAATGAAACTGTGGCAGCAAGGGTTTTTGCTGTGAGATATCCGTACAGGCGTCGCTACCATAAGCGAGTGTTCAGCTGGCTTGCCTAGCGATTAAGGAGTACGTCAAGTATCCGACGTCCTACTATTGTCAGAAAAAGGAACGTTCGTATCTTGGTACATGTCGTATAACATCGAAAAGACATAATATCTCATTTTCGAAAATTTTCGCGAATACAATATTTCTTCGTCAGTGTGGCGGGGGCAGTGAAAATAGGAATTATGCCCAAAGTTTAATTTATTGTTATTATTTACATTTTTCATATTGAATCATGATATGACCGTATCTTACTATAGGAAAACATAACTTACGGAAGGTGGTGGTGCGCTCGGTCTCGTACTCAATGCCGGCCTCGTCCTGATGTTCTGTGGTGAAGTGGCACCCAGCGTCGATCCAATGATGGAAGACATATGCCGAACGGTGCCAAATTTCGCAAAGCCATTATTAGTATCTGTCGTCGAATGGTCCGGGGAAGGGGACCGCGGTGTCCGAAGACTGTGCGCCCTGCTTACAGGCTTCTTTCCCATAAGACTAGGTTTGCCTATAACAAAGTGAGATAAATGGTCTAAGGATCTACTATTTAGTAAAAAAAAATATTTGTGAACTATATTCCAATAATTTAGAGATTTATTTCGGAAAAGACAAAATAAGTTTTACAAAAATTTAGGGGTTATTCTGGATACAGATCTACGGTTTTCACAGCATATTTCTCTTCTATCCAAAAGAGCGTTTTCATCTTTAAAACTGCTATACACCTACAATAGCAGAAGCATACTAACCAAGTCAACAAAAATAACATTGTGCGGGTCTTAGTTCTTTCTCACTTCAGCTATGCAGGCTGTGTCTACGGCCCGTCATTAATACAGCGAGATAAGACGCGCCTTCAGCGCATTCAAAATGCTTGTGTCAGGTTTGTTAATGGTATTAGAAGGTGGCAATCAACATCTCTCCAGTTAAAGAACTTAGGTTGACTCCACAAAGAGAAAAGACGGTTCCTTCATCGATCCGTACTATACCACAAGATACTTAATACTAAATCACCATCCTATCTTTCCAAGAAGATGAAGACCCGTATCGAACTGCATAGTCATAACACGAGTTTTAAACATCATCTCTCGCTACGTAAACTTAATGTTTATAACTCACTGCCTAACAGAATTGAATTCCTAACAATTTTGAGATTTAAGAGAAAATACTATGTACCGCGGTGATTCTAGAAACACCAGCCACCCAACAACAAGCGGTAGACCCTCTTCTGACCAACGCCGCGTCGCGCTGGACAACCATCGCGCGTCACAACAGCAGGGAAGCCGGCGCAGCGTAAGCAGGCGGTGCGGCACCGTCTTCCCATGTAAAACGGTGTTATAGTACATAATTATATACATTGTGTGTTGTCAGTGTTATTACATTATCAATTACATTCCGTGGCCGGGGCATATTAAACCTACCTACCAGCGAAACTTGCCTATACGGAACGCACATGCAAATTTCAAAATTAGAGTTCTCAATTTTTATTCAAATAAACACCACTTTTTTTCACGAAAATCAATGCTACAAAGTACCCTTCATATCCGGGATCGATTACATTCCGTGACCGGGCCATATCAAGCCTACCAGGGGGAGCGAAAGTTACCTATACGAAACGCACATGGAAATTTGAAAACTAATTCTCCATTTTCCTTCAAATCAACACCACCTTTTTTCACGAAAACCAATGCTACATCGTATCTTCCATATCCGGGATCAATTAGATTCCATGGCCGGGGCATATTAAGCCTACCAGGGGAGCGAAAGTTACCTATACAAAACTAACATGCAAATTTCAAAATTAGGTTTCTCAATTTTTCTTCAAATCAACACCACTTTTTTATCACGAAAATCAATGCTACAATGTATCTCATATCCGGGATCGATTACATTTCGTGGCCATTGGTGGTTTTTGCTGGGTGGCCGCTGTTGCTAGAATCACAGCGGTAGACTATGTTGAGACTTGAGATGACTTAAATTTTACATTTCACGCAGATTTGCCAATTATTTTTCTGTATTTTTCATTTGATGCTTGACATTTTACCTTTATACAAAATTAGCTATGACTTCTAACTATTACATTCAAACATCAGCTCGTCTTTTATTTTCGGTTTTACTAAGCTGCTTACAACAATGACAATATGTCATCTATGTTGTGTTATAATGGTGGCAGAGCGCGGATTTGTGTTATAATGGTAGCAGAGCGCGGATTGACAACTAATGGTTGCGGAATTTGCAACAGCCGTTATATAGTCTAGTACCAAACTGGAAGACAGAAATCTACACAATCGCATAAATACCCCGTTAGCAGTGCTGAGCGACGAGATGTGCTACTCTACAACTACTTGGTGTTTCACAATAAACGCAAGAATAAGTCAATGATCATTTTCCACCTGGATAAAACGGCATATTTAATATCTGTAATAGATTTTTTGCACACATTTTTCTAGGGTGGTGTAGTTTATCTTCTATCTTGTTGGTGCGTTGAAAAAAGGTTCATATTTTGCAAAGGAGCAGTATGTCACTAACTAAAGTCTTACGTAAAAATATGTTATTTTCATATTCGAATCAAAAAAAATAATTTATCCCCACCACATTTAGGAAACTTCACAAAATAGTCAGTAGCATAAATAGTAAATCTGTATGTCAAAAGGGACTATTTGAATTTATTAAATTGAACAACTGCATTAAACAGTGTTCAAATAAATACCCAAAATTCATAGCCATGTAATTTCAATAGACAAGAATCTGAAATTACAGAAAAATTATTCAAAAAATGTAAAAAAGGATAATTATACAAAACTGACATTGTAGCATAAATGCTATATAAATATTCAACAAACAAATATAATGTGTCATCCATGTGTCTGGCTCTGTTCTACTACTGATCACCAGTTGTAGCACATACATGAATATTCTCTCCCAAATAGAATTTTCAGAGAATGAGTGCCAGTGAGTGGTAAGCATAATTGTATGTTAACACACCATTCCCAACAGGAAAGTTTGACAAGAGTGAATGGCAATTGTTAGCGCATAACCTTCCCATGACGATTTTATTCCAGCATCTTTTACATCAACTTGACAAGTCACTTCATGAATTGATTTGGATTATAATTGTTGGATAGTCTTACGTTAATTTCCTGGAACTATGATGTACTTTACTTGGTCTTCAAACTTTCCTCGTAATTGCAGTAATCTTGAAGTAAAGCCTTTCTTGCTCTTACGAGTATAGAGATGCGAATGGTACTTTCCAAGCAATCCTGATTTATAATGAAGAGCATATGAAAATTTAAGGCAAAACTTGAATTGTTTAACTTAGGTGAAGTTGGACAACTAATCATCTCTCGTTTACATTATATAACGACCAAACTGGTTAATTGCCAAATAAAACGGGGATTTCGTTGGTAAAGCCATTGTATATAGTATTAGCACAGGTTAGGTAAAAATCAGCTATGAAACTCTCCTGTCAGTGTCAAAAACGGCCGCCATTGCGGTGGAGAAAATTGCATATAAAGCGGCCGTGAACCAATAATAAAAAGCAGTATGTTTATCCAAAAAAGCGACGAAGTATTAACGACTATTGATTTATGAAAAAGGTTTGAAATGAATTTGTAACGGTAGAAGCGTTTACAATAAACGCAAAAATTTTTACGTTTGCCATGTATTTCTTTGCTGCTGCGATATATTCCAATCTATTGCTCTATAATTACTATATTATACATTTTTTGAATCAATTTTCTGTAATTTGACATTCGTGTATTAAAATTATATCGATATGAATTTTGGGTATATAAAGTGATTTTTTAATTTCACCTTTCAATTTCAACATTTTCAAATTTGAACTCTGTTTAACATCTTTATTGAATTAGTACAACAATGGAAGCGGTTTTAGTGCTCAGACAGCGGCTGCAGATATTCTTTGCAATCGTAAAAATTATAATATTCCTATATTATCTAGTGTAGTTTGTGTGAACCAATAATAAAAAGGAGTGTGTTTCTCCAAAAAGAAGCGAATTGGTATCGATGACTATTTATTTATGGAAAAGCTATATAATAAATTTGTACTGGCAAAATATTTACTTTTTCCAGGCATTCTTTACTGCTGTGATTTTCTCAATCCATTGCATTTTCAATGTAAACAACAAGAATATGTTTGTGTTGTCATGAAATCAAGAATCACCTTGTGGAGAGCGGCATATTTTCCAAGTAAAGATAAAATTGCCTACATTTTTATAACTAACTTTTTCGGGTATTCAAGATATCGGAACTACCGACGCTCACACATTAAAAACTCGCCCTGTATGTAGAAGCATCCTAGCTGAGGAGGAGAATGCATTAAAAAGTAAATATTTTTCCGTTTTCTGTAAATACTTCAACGAATACAGATTTAGTATAAAGCTTTTCCATAAATAAATAGACATCAATACGTCGTTGCTTTTTTTGAATAAACATTCTTTCTTTTTATTATTGGTTCACACAAACTACACTAAATAGTATCGGAATATTATAATTTTGCCGATTCCAAAGAATATATGCAGCTGCTGTAAGGGTATATGGCTACACCAGTTGCTGCTGAGCACTAGAACCTCTTTCATTGTTGTACTAGGGGAATTTGCGAATGCGATTTTCTCCGCTGGCGACGGTTTTTAACATTGACAGGAGAGATTCATAGCTGACTGTTATCCAAGCTGTGGTATTGGTGTATTGTACTGTGACGGCATTCTGCGATTTTCGTATAATCATATAATAGCATCTTTTATTAATAGTTCATACTATTCTACTACAGATCCAGGCATATCTGATTAAATATACAAAAAAGGTAAACCCCAGTGAATTGTTTGGTGATAAAGAAACATTCAGTTTTCGTACATTTACGGTGTCAGTTAAATGTTAAATTTCGTGTAGCGTATTGAGAAGCCTTTTTGTGATTGCTCAAAATGCCTAGAGTGCTTAAGAATTCGCCAGGTGTCCCAGCTAAGTGACTTTGAGACGGTTGAATTGTCGGGTTGCGTGAAGCCGGGCTATCGATAAGAGTAGTTTCTAGGAGGACCAACAGATTCTTGCGCGGTACACTGAAGTGCGAACGAGTGTGGACTCAGGACGGCCGAGGACAGCGAGCGAGGGGTTCTGGACGTTCCAGAGGGACCACAGAGCGACAAGACCGCCGGTTAAGACTTCTGGCTCTGAGTGACAGATTCAGTAGTACTCGAGCCATCGCTAATCAGTGGTTTGAAGAGCATGGAAGGATGGTTGGTATGCGTACGGTATATCACCGAATACGACAGTTTGGCCTTTTTTCTTATCGCCCACATTGGGTGCTACCTCTCACAGCTGAACATCGGCATAACCGTTTGCTAGAAAGAATTCTATGGGACCTGGAATGGAATCAAGTGGTCTTTAGTGACGAATCCCACAATTTGACAGAGAGCGTCACGTTAACCACACCGTGGGAGTTATGGTGTGAGGTGCTATTGCTTATTGTAGCAAATCACCACTAATTTTCATCAGAGACCATATGACAGCCCAACGCTATATTCAGAAAGTAGTGGAACCTCATCTTATTCCATACCTAAACACTATGAAAAACCCGATTTTTCAGCAAGACAATGCCAGACCGCATGTTGCCAGAGCATCGTTAGCCTTCATGTATCAACATCGCAACTATCTCCAATTGAACATGTCTGGGATACGACAGGTCGCAGGTTCTTGAATTTGCAACACCCTCCACAGACTTTAGCAGCTCTTACTCACGAGGTTGCAGTAGCCTGGAATGAGATACCCCAACAGGATATCGACCAGCTTATCAGCACGATGTCCAGGCATGTCAATGAGTGTATAAAACATCGTGGATCCTCAACACATTATTGAACCAGCTTCTGCAGTCAGTTGACGAATCAAGCTGAAAAGTCGATCATTTTACTAGTAAGGGACACTGAACATATATGCCAAAAATTATTAAAATCGGATAAACATACGTAGGTGTTTACCTTTTTTGTCACTCAGTATATATCTAAGCCTAATACCGCACACTGCTATCACCTATATCTCTCTAATTTTTCGTATTTTTTTTTTAGTTTACACTGAAACTGAAAAGCATTTATGGATTAATATGCTCACCATTCAATACAGGAGGTTTCGGAGCCAAATTGGGTTTCCCCGAACTGAAGGCTGGTTTAGCAGAATGACTGCCACAGTCGTCCGCTGTTTCGTAACTGGAAAGATTTGCATTACTTTTGGCTTTTCGATGTAACGAGCTTGGATTCGCTTGAATACCACCGGAGCTGATGACGTTCAATGACTGTTGACTTGAATGTATGCCATTTGGTGTATTTTCCTTTGATGACAACGGCTGTCTGGGCGTGCTCAAGTCAGGACAAAACTGTAAACATTTTATTTTTTATGCGGTTACATATCAATGTCATAAAAAATAAGAAAGCAGATTGACCAACTAGACTATGAGCGGATCTTAACTAAGAGAAATCTATGGCGCAGCTACCCATGCATATTTTAAAAGAGTGATAGATGACTGTTGTTTTCATTATTTTTGTCTCGAAATACTCGAATAAATGTAGCATCAAATTTTCGGTATTGTCCACTAATTGCCTTTCCAGGCATTGCTGCTTGAATTATAGATAAAACTCAAATCACACATCCATGACACATGAGTTGGCAATATGGCAGTCATATAAGCATAGTTGTAGAAATGAGAGAAAATTTCGAGACAGCGCAGGTAAGGGAAAACTAAAATGTGTTTGTGTGAGGGAGATGGAGATAATTTAAAGGTGATACCGAAATCGGTGAAGAGATCTATATTTTATTTTATAACAGTGAAAACTCTTGAAAATACTTGCATTTCTACTAGGTGCCGGTGGAGGAGGCCCTCGACTACGACTATCATGATTTGCCAGCTGCTTCTTCAGTTCAAGCTGGATATTGCTGAAATTTCTCATCGGTGATTGACTGCTGGATATCACGCCATCATTATTATTATTATTCTTGATACTAGTACTGTTTTTAGCTCCACCTGTGACAAAATCATATGTTCGATTTCTTTCTAAAAAACTGAGATTAGTTTAACATATTCCACTAGAAGATACCCAATCCAAGTGAAAGCAGTCGTGGCCGCGCGAAAATAGACATTTGTACCGTGGCGCAACTAACCACACATATGAACTAGTAATATCCGACAACAGATGGCCAAACATGGACACATGTTTCGTGCCATTTGGTAACTCTTCAGAATGGAGTAGGCTTGGTCAACTTCTATTCATCGAAATAAGACACCATGAAGTGTCATCTACCATCAGAATCGATCAATACGAAAGTGAAAACAGCAAGCTGTCTGTTGTAACTGTATGCCAATTTGCTTTACCAGCAGAGTCACTACTGTGGCCGTTAGATGTCGTCGATTCTGATGATATAGTAGACACGGTTTTCTCGCCATTGAACAAATCGACCATCGTTCATCCGACCCCAGATGGCTAACCATGCCTACACCTTTGCTGAAGAGAAATAACACGAAACAGCTGTCCATGGTTGGCCAACTGTGATCGGACGAGTGAAAGCATATTACTAATTTCTTTAATGGCAAGTAGACCATAACTATATCTACTACAACGCCAGAATCTGCGGCATCTAGCGGGCTGGCAATGCTAACTGACATATAGTTCCAACAGACAGCTTGCCGTTTCCACTTTCATAGTGGTCGATAATAGATGGCCCTGTGCAGTCTTATTTCAATTAACCACATATACTTACAACAATTTTATTTAAAAGAAACATTGAGTCTGTTCTTATTATTTCTATGGGTATTACTGTCGTTCGACTTATGACAATGAAAATTGTATATGAACCTCCAAAATATTGCATAGGGTTGAGCATCTTCTTGGGTTTAAGTAAAACGATTGCACGTAGCGACATTTGAAAAGAACTTCTTTATGAAAAATAACAAGGGATACCGGTCTTATCACAAAATGTGATATAAGTAAAGTTACAAGTCTTTAAAAGAGAAAAGTTGCTGCATATTAAAAAAAACAAACTACCAATTTAGGTTGAAATACTATCATTATTATAAAAATTATTCAAAAAATAAAAACAATACACTGTATCTCAAAAACATAAGCCTTGCGGACTTTCACGAATTTTAAATTATTGTACAACTAAAATTAAGTAAAGAACCACCATTATCGAATGAATTATGCCTGGTTGCATATAAGCTATACTGTCCACTTGTCTAATTTTGACTACACATTAGACCTTGCTGATGATGAAGTTGTAGCAAGAAATATTTGTGTATATCAATTTTTATGTTTATGAGACAAACCTGCAATTGCCGGTGCGCTCCGGTCGTTAGTGATAGTCTTTTTCAGCTTGGCTCCTCTCCTTATGGATTTTAGCAAAGCATCTCTGTCATTCGGATTACTTTTTGGCATTTTGAAAACAGGCGGTGGCGGCGCCCCAGGTGCCATAGGCGGAGGGGGAGGGGGAGCAGGCATTTTCATTTATCTCCTGCAAAAGGTTCCCAACTATTTTATCTGTTACCTAAATTCTGAAGGCAAAAATGACGCGACCAAAAACCGGTAGTGTATAATCCGATCAAATATGATGTACCCATAAATCCAGTTCCTTGAAAACAAATACTGCACCTTGAAAGGATCGATTCGTTATAATATCCCATATTGTCGACTCACTTGATTCTAGTTGAATCGAACCTAAAAAGCAACTTACAAATGTGCATAAAAACACCATTTTACAGAAAAGAGATACTGCTCCAGTAATGATGAAATCAGTTGATGTCTGAGGTCAAGAGACAAAATATAATATTGAAATTCTTATTATGCCATCTTGTAGGGAAGAAAAGTGGCAATGTTAATGTGAAATTTATTTTAAAATCCCACCTCACATGAGGTCAAACAAAAAAAAACTATTTTGGGAAAATTCAGTTACTTCTGTCTGTTACCAGAAATACTATAAATTATGAAATTTTCTGACCATTACCATTTTCCTTGTTACCTAAATATGTAACTTTGCCCTCATTTAACAGGCTTTATGAGATCTATATAATGAGAGTAAAATTTGAAACACCCAGTATATTAGCCCACTTCAATTTTGAGCATAGTCCATTACCACAAATAAACAGATATCTAAGGCATATAAAATCAGATATTGAGACAGAATGTACTGAAGCAGTATTTTTAGGCATTTGAGACTATAGATAGGAGAAAATTGTTAATGAAATTACATCACTATGGTTTGAAAATCTACAGAATAAAGGAATGAAAACTATTTCGAATAAAAACAATTAACCCAAGATTAAGACTATCTTAGAACTGGTATGGTTGAGTGTAATAAAATATGTTATTTAGTTCTCATTTTCATATTCAAATCAAAAAAATCATTAAGTCCCACCACATTTAGGAAACTTCACAAAACAAATAGTCAGTAGCATAACTAGTAAATCTGTATGTCAAAAGGGAGTATTTGAATTTATTAAATCGAACAACTGCATTAAACAGTGTTCAAATAAATACCCAAAATTCATAGCAATGTAATTTCAATAGACAAGAATCTGAAATTACAGAAAAATGATTCAAAAAATGTGAAAAAGGATAATTATACAAAACTGACATTGTAGCATTAATGCTAAATAAATATTCAACAAACAATCATAATGTGTCATCCATGTGTCTGGCTCTGTTCTACTACTGATCACCATTTGTAGCACATACATGAACATTCTCTCCCAAATAGAATTTTCAGAGAATGAGTGCCAGTGAGTGGTAAGCAAAATTGTATGTTAACACATCATTCCCAACAGGAAAGTTTGACTAGAGTGAATGGCAATTGTTAGCGCATAACCTTAACCTGACGATTTCCTTCCAGCATCTTTTACATCAACTTGACAAGTCACTTCATGAATTGATTTGGATTATAATTGTTGGATGAGCATACATAACATTTATAATACCTGTATAATCATGATATTTATTGAAAATCAATTGAAAAAACTCATGGGAAAACATTACTCTGTGCAGAGCTGCCAATGTATATTTGCGAAGGAGCGATTGAAGGTATTGCTCTCCTTTCATGAGAGTTCAACAAGAAAACTTGTCAAGTCACAAGTGTGCAATGACAGTTTTATTTTCTTCATGACTTTTGACAAGAAAGCATCAAAGGATTGAATAGCAGTACTGAGTGTTTGTGTATGGGCAACTGTATAAAATCTAGGTAGTAGAGTTAAACTGAATTAAATGGTAATTAGATTTAGTAGCACATACAAGTTATTTTGATCTAACAATATATATTAATGGATGATAACCCAAAAGTCATTTTATAGAAACATTCAATTTCAACTGGGCTGAAATAACAAATTCTTTTCTGCAAAATGAAATAAAAAACAACTGTCACAATACAATGAGATTATCACTACCTATTGCTACTATGGTATGTAATTGTATGGCCTGTTTGCTTTTTTGGAAAGACTTCTGCTAAAGGCAATCATTATAAACTAACACCTTGGAAAAAAACATGCAATTTTGTCATATATAATATATGGTAGAATAAGTACAATTTCATGTGAGATTATTTTCAATACGTTACCAAATCCAACAAATCATCTATAAATGGTGGTATATGATCCTGCATAAGCATTTGATTTCTGTAATAACTGATAGCTGGAATCTGCTAATACTTTACCAAGATGAAATTTCAACTATATGATACCAAACTTTGAGAGCTCATGTTACCCTATTTAATGTAAGACAGCTATTGTATCATCATAGAAAGTTAAAATAGTTATGCTTTAATACTTCTTAATCAAGTGTATAGAATAATTTTGGAGGTTTCAACGACTTATTTTGGTTTTTCTTAATTATGTGTTATTGTTTACCTATTTGATTTTCAATACCTGAAAACCAAGTTATCTATTAACAAAAAATAGTTTTATTTTTTAATAGGTTTATATGTTAAGAACATTTCAACACTTTCAAATGAATTATTACCACTATGAGATATTAAATAACTACAATTCTTCAATATGCTTTACCTTCAGCTGATCAGTTATTTGGACAAGTATCCAATTTAATATTACTGCATATTAACATACAATGTTATTTGTTATATTTGGTTATCTTTCATGATAATTTAAAAACATATCTGGTGTATTATCTGACATTGATACAATAATTTTTAGTTAGTTCAAATCCCATTCAGATCTACAAATACTGTAAAATGAAAAGAATTATATATAATGAATCATACTGATGGAATAAAGTTGCCCTAAAATGGAAATCATAGATCTGACACCTCCTTTAAATAATGTGTACTCACCTTAAACATACATCATATCACAGCACAGCAAATTAGTTAAGCTGATCATATTATTCGTTGTTATAAACTGAACACATTAGGTTTCACTCTATTTAGCAAACACATAATTTAAGAAATCAAAGGCAATGACATCCATTCAATGAAGGCAGTTTTTGGAGTGCTCCAAACATGTTTAATTATCAAATTGGTGAAATCCACACCTCTTATCCCATGTAAACAATCATTTTGTTGCATTATAAATGGAAAGTTCATTCCGTAAAGTGCCCGCAATCGTTTAGACATACCTTGATAAACGAGCCTTCTTTGGAGGGGTCAGGCGGTTGTTAACGTTTGAACATATTGTTCTCCTGTAGTTGTACTGTTTTATGCTAAAAATACGATGTCGTGAAATATGGAGGAATAAATAAATAGAAATATGATAAGGTTGTAAGCGCAATCATCACTAATCAGTAATCACAGTAGAAAACACATGAAATGAATCACGCAGATGCCCCCACGCACTCAAATGTCAACATAAAAACATCATCAATCAAATTGTCAACCTGACAGCAACAACAGCTGTCATTTGACAAGTGTGCCACACTCAAGAGACCAGAATACTGCCCACCATTTTCGTTCCAAAATCAAATCTAAATTTAGTAGAGTACTAAGGAGGATAGAAACGAGATAAACAGGATTTGTGCTACCAATCGTTAATTTTAATGTGACTATGAATAGAAATGACGTACAGGAATACGTATTACGTTTGTAATCAGACGGCATTGATGAAAATGGCAATCATAAATACGTCTTAGCACAATTAATCAACGGTTTCGATCCTGACAAATTTATCTATGTATGCCATGGAACAAAACCGAGGAAAAGTGTGTCACCTCCACTAGTGTTGTGTTTTGTGGTTTCAGTTTGAAATTATTGGGAACGCCATTCAAAATTCAAAAAATGCTAAAACCTTAAATTATGTATGCTGTAAACAATGGTATTTTTGGAATAATTTTTGTTTATATTTATTATTTTTAAAATTACTATGTATGGTCACAAAAACAGGAATTACGATATTAAAATATAGTTTTTCAACACAGATTATTAGCTATATAGGGGTCCGAGTATAGGGGTCCGAGTAGAGACTATCCGTAGCGAAATTTTTGCCGAAATCGTTGCTGCCTACTAACAAAGACCGCCGCATCTCCAAAAATAAAAAAATGATATATTTGCACCAAACGAATAATCATTATTTATGCTACATATGTACATAGAGAAAACCCCTTAATTTATATTTTTAAATGTTTTATGAAGGGAAACAGTTTCCCTGTAAATGTCAAAAATTGTATTTACGCTTAGTATAAACCGCGCATATTACATTTTTCGAGAAAGACCCTGGTATGTATCGATATGAGAGGTATTTTCTAAGGAATATAGCAGTTCCGCTATCGGCGCTGTCCATGACAGGTTTCGTCTGAACATTTTGCCGCGTAAATCGTCTCTTTTTTTATTGGTTTCAACTTGTGGGCATGTTTATTATAAAATGAATCTCTCTATTTTTTTCATTAACATATCAGTTAAAAATTGTCTTAATATTTATGAAAGTGTTGTTAGTGGCGAGCATAAAAATATGTTGCTTTCGTAGGTTAATACAATATTAAAATATAAAAATGATTCTCTCTTGGGACAGATATACATTTTTTCATATTTACATAGTTAAAGCAAAGCATAAGCCAATTTTGAATTATACGTGGTTTTAACTAATTATTCTTCGTATCGCGCATAACTAATAGCTATGGCCTAGTTTTGCATATTTTTTCTTAAAAAATGATTGCTATGATATTATAAATTATATGATGAATGATCATATTTTATTAGTCAAGTAAAAGTACAACATAAACAACAAAAATCTTTAACCACTGTTTTCTCAAAACTTGTTCAAGTGGAGATACGGGGGTCTTTCTTGATAGGGCAGAATAGATATTACTACTTGAATGTGTAATAGCTACAAAGCTTTAACTAGATTAGCAGTTAATCACTTGATATACAAATATTTAGGGAAGGAACAAACATAAACATGATAATTGGCTGAGGAAAGTTCTACAAACTACCTAGAAATAATAATGTTAAACTAAAGCTCGCCAAATGTACATTTAGCTTAGAAAACAAATACTTAGGTCATATAATTTTTTCCAAAGGTACAGACTCAGAGATCAGTAAAAAAGGCTATTTTGGATATGCCGCATCCTTCATCAAAACTAGAGATACATAGATTGCTGGGTTTGCTCACATATGTTAGATAATTCATCAAAAATTACTCTTGTAAAATTAAACCTCTGGGAGAGCTTTTGAATAATGATATTGGATTTTGTTGAAATAAGGAACAAGAAAGTACTTTTAAAAATTTCAAGCAAGTGAGTGCATACTATTACACTAGTTTTATAAAGGGTTGTCCAATAGGGACGCAGGAAAGTAAACGTCAATTTGACATAGACGCCATCTTTGGTTTCTGTCACCGACATGTCATTTTGTTAGTTGAATGTTTACCATTGATCGCTATGGAGTCGTATTCGATTGAAGCCGCATTACAGTTATTCAAGAGCACTACAAAAATGGTGCAAAAATAAAAAACACGTTTCGCGCGCTTCGTGAACATTTCGGTCGCAACAACCGCCCAAACGATACAACCATCGGTCGTCTGGTGCGTAAATTCGAGGCAACAGGTTCTGTGGCAACTCTGCCAGGCTCTGGAAAATCCCCGTGAGCCGTGAGTATCGAGAGCAGCCGATACATCCTCAAAAAGTGACTGTGTGGTGTGTATTGTGGTCAAAAGGCATCATCGGACCTTACTTTTTGGAAAATGTGGCCGGGGACGCCGTTACCGTCAATTCTGAGCGATATCACGTGATGATAGAGGACTATAATCAAATCCAAGCGAATAACCAAAATTTCTGTATGTGCCGCGGTTATAATATGGTTCAAGATGACACACGGGTTGATGACGTCAGTTACACGAATCGCTTGAACGCGTTGGTTTTAACCGCGGTTTTGTTGCAAGTTCTTTATTTTAGAAAAGCGCGTATATAATCTCTGATTATTTTTATTATCACTTAATAATCGGTGCTTTTTCGTCTACAACTGTATATGGAAAGTTTAAATAAGAAACCTTTCATAATATTCATGGAGAAATGTTTTTTTCAGATTTTTTTTTTAATGATGGAACCATGGCTTTGCAGCTATGATAACTTTCAATTCTCTAAATTTTTCCGCATGTCAAAGAAAACATTTATTGATTCAGCAGAAATGATGAAAAAAGAAATTAGCAAAACCGTAGACAGGTGGATATCATCTAGTGAGTTTATATGGCCATATTTTAATATTCTTGTGGTATATGGCTACACAGGATACTTTGTTAAGCATAGAAACTACATTTAAAGTGTCCCCAATAACCGTAATGAGTATAACAAATAAGGTGCTCCACTTGATGGTAAAACTGAAGTCAGCCTGTATCATTTTTCTCAAAAATGAAGCTGAAGTACAATAACAATATCCAATACCCGGCAAAATTCTAACTTGTCACATTTCAAATAATAACCAGAAATATAAAACTACTCTTGAGTTGGGTAAATACCACAATTTTGCGGTGATAACTATGACCTGTGCTATGACATATAACAGCTGATTCGTGACGTCACGGATCTTATAACCAAACTGATAACTACACTCGCTTGAACGGATTGGTAAATACCAACCCAAAATGGTAAATACCATTTCCATTTGGTTATCCGCTTGAATTTGATTTATTTTTTGCCGCAACTTGAAGGAATGGATATGGACGATGTTTATTTCCAACAAGACGGTTCAACATGCCACACAACCAACGTCAATATCCATCGATTGCAGTCCTTCGGTGATCGCGTGATTTCGCGAAGAGGAAATGTGCCATGGCCACCAAGATCGTGCGATTTGACTCCCTTGGACTTCTTTTTATGGGGATATTTGAAAAGCAAAGTCTACGTCAACAAACCAGAACCCTCCAAGAACTCAAAATCATCATTGTCGAGATAAATGCCATAGAACCAACCATGTTGCAAAATGTCATTGAAAATTTCGATTATCGCGTGGACGTCTGTAAATCCAGTCGTGGTGAACATTTGAGCGATATTATTTTTCATACATAAATGGTATAAATGAACCTTCAAAATAAAGTACCCAACTTGATTTGAATATCAATCTTTCTTGTTTTAATGTGCGTTTACTTTCCTGCGTCCGTTTTGGACAACCCCATATATACAAATTTTGGATATAACAAAAGAAACAATTTCAGTGTATGCAAGCAAAGCTAGAGTACAAGCAAGATGGACTTCCATGCGCTTATGCTTCGAAAGCAGTGGCAGATATACATCAGATATGCCCAAACTGAAAAAAAAAGTATGCTATTTGTTTTGGATTAAATACATTCCAGCTATATGTGTATGGAAGAAAGTCTCTGTAGAAACAGACCATCAACCATCAATTTCTATATTCAAGAAAATATTGAATGCATGGAACAGTCTTCCATCTTATGTAGTGAACTCGGAATCCGTCAACAGTTTCAAAAACAATTACGATAGACACCGCAGTGCTTAACATATTGTTCCCATTCTGTATATGTCTACTTCAGTAGTGCTAAGATTGTCAAATTGTTATATTTCTTTTGTCTGTACACTATTATCTATTTTTGTGTTTGAGTTTATAGTACTTGTACTCAACTCAAATTTGTTGTTTAATAATAATAATAATAAAAGGCCCTAGTTACAGAGTATGATGCTACAAATACAAAAATGTGATACTGAATTAAAGTAAAAGCCAGGGAAAGAATTGTTGCTATAGTTGTAGTCACCGTTCTTAGCGGTTACGTCATCAATGCCATATGAAATAAGTAAATATATGAGTCTTCGTACCATGTTCGGATCTTAAGCTTCAGTGCATCTGCTATACTCTCTCCAGTACGCATGGAGTGGGTAACAGGAGACCGCTGTTTTCATTTTCTTCCTGCAAATACTCTAATAAATTTATCACGAGCTGTCGGCCTTCTCCATTGATCGTATTTCCGGGCGTTGTACAATTTTATATTGAAGATTGATAACAGGACAACTCGAATTGCACGCCGATGTCAAGTAAGTTGTCACTCTGACAAATATGATTGAGATATACAACTAAAAAACATATGTCTTTGAGCTTACCGAACAAACGTTCACACACAGGGGCAGGGCAGGTTGCATGTGTATGTATGAGAGAGATGGAGATATATAAAGGGATACTGGTAGTCTTACTTTGACCCGCCAAGAACGGTGACGACGGCTATAGCAGATACTCTATCTAGATCTTTTTTATCAGATATATCAATAATTGAGCTAGATAGTGACTGAAAGTCAAATATGGAAAGAGCTCTCGTTCTTCCGTCTACAGACGGCCAACCATGGACAGCTGTTTCATGCTACTTGGCAACTTTTCAGTATGGCGAATAGACCGTATCTACTATAGGTCCAGAATCGACGGCATCATTGCAGTTATGCCAAATCAGATCAAACAAAAAGTTTCAGAATATCATATATATGCCTCATATGCAAATGCTGCATGTTTCATTTGAATCTCTATGAAATGTTCTTTAGTTTGTTTATTGTCTCCGATGTCGTTCAGTTAGATTTTTTCTATAAACTGTTGTGAACTTTCATTACACAAGTGGTTGTTTTGATATAGCCTAAAAACGTTTCTGCTACCTACGTAATAGGTATACTGACATTTTTCCTTTTCTAGTATTTTATTTCAGTTTTATATCATTTGATTAAAGTTTAATCTAGTTATGTCTGTTTTTTTGTAGCCATAGTGATTTTGTATCTTTTCCACTGAAAACAATGATGTGTTTTTGGTTTTAACCCACCATAAAAATCCTATAGTACCTAATATGTGGATCCTAAAATGTATCCAATAATTGCAAGTTCTGAAACTACAAACTGTAGCTGTAAGGAGGGCATGGCTTTCAGAAAAACTAATGTAAAATGTAATAACCTTTTCACGTTCATAAATATTCCTGTTTGCAGTCTATTTTCTCACCGGTTAGTTGTAATATACTTCACCCACCAGGATTTATTTTAATTTCTCTCATTTTGGAAATTCAGCAAATTTCAATCAACACATATTATTAGCACATAAATCCTCACTATGTACCTATGCACTGCCGTTTCCTTCCAGCTATAGTATAACTTACAGCTTACACCTCCATCTCTAAAGCAGATGTTACATCACATCAGAGCCAAATTTTGATATCTGAAGCGCCGTGATGTTTAGGCAACACGTGCAGCTACAGAACAAGTGCACTTCAAGTGAACACAGTTCTAAGTTGACATCTTGTAGAAAAACCTACATAATGTCGCAAAAACCCATATAAAAAATAACATAATGACAATTTGAAGATACGTAATACCCCTGCGGGTTCAGAGGTTTGAATCTAAGGTGACTCCACTATGAAAGAGTATTGTTGTATTAAATGTAATGAGGGTTTCAAAAGCTTCACTAGACAATCGTGCGATTAGAAAGCAAACCGTATGTATTGCATCATCTTTATTTAAAATACATCAATTAACATTATGTGATTTCAAATCCCTTCTTAAAATTAAATTAATCAGGCATACGTTAAGGCACCCCCGAATTTTAGAATTGCACTCCTGTACATAGGCAATATCACAACTTTCATCTGAAATACGTGAATGTACATTCCGCGATTTCAATACCGTTCTTAAAGAGACTTTGTCAATCATATAATATATGTTGAGGCACAACATTTCAAACATTAATATGTTAATTCTAAAGAAACATCACAACTTAAGCAGGAGAGTTATTGGTAAGGTATGTGAATGGTTTGCGAAATAATTGTAAAGTCTGATCTTATTGATGCAAGTTGTTCAAGGAGGTATTTAAAACATGGACGCATAACATGGTTACATCAATTTTTGTGGGAAAACTTTTTATTCGACACCAAAGAATGAGAAAATGCGTTTTTTGGGATTCAATCGAAAGTGTTGGCAGGAATGGAAAAACTCTCAAAATAAGATTTTTAGATATTTATGAGACCTACAGAATGAGACTACACGTAAAAAGATCCGACTAATAGTAAAAAAGTTATGGCCGAAAACCCAGGCAAAATGCAGGTTTTGGAACTTGCTACTAATTTGACAATAATTTCACCCAGTTACTTAAAATTCTTAAAATCCGTAGGCTTCATACTTCTAAGTGACCACAACAAAATTGGAGTCGATTGGTCAAGTAGTCTTTGAGAATTCCTAATGGTTTATCCCAAAATACCTGTCTTCCGGCCATCACTACTACTGAGCAATATACGGATTCGTTCAAAAGACATTTTATAGCAAAATACTCGAGTTTACCTTGCTGATATAAATCACAAACCATTCCGAAAAATAATTGTTGTTTTTATGCGAAAACGAAGGGTTACCTTTTTTATTCTGAATAAATTCAAACATTTCGTATTTGTGAGTAACTGAACAGATTCGCTACGATATTCAGGAAGTTTATTTAAAATGCTCCTAACAAACATACTTTTTTAGTACACAATGACATTCACATACCTTACCAATAACTCTCCTGCTTAAGTTGTGATGTTTCTTATCTTAAAATGTGTATAATAATGTATTGAATATCGTAGCGAATCTGTTCAAATACTTACAAATACGGAATGTTTGAATTTGTTTAGACGAAAAAAAAAAAACGTTACCCCTCGTTTTTCGCATAAAAACAGCAATTATCTTTCGGAATGGTTTGTGATTTATGACGGCAAGGTAAACTCGTGTATTTTGCTATAAAATGTAAACTAGTAGTGATGGCCGAAAAACAGGTGTTTCGGGATAAACAATTAGAAATTCTCAAAGAGTACTTGACTAATCGACTCCAATTTTTATGTGGTTACTTAGAAATATGAAGCCCATGGATTTGAAGAATTTCAAGTAGCTGCGTGAAATTATCATCGCATTAGAAGCAAGAGCCGAAACCCGCATTTTGCCTGGGTTTTCGGCTATAACTTTTTTACTATTAGTCGGATATTTTTATGTGTGGTCTCATAAATACTTAAAAATCTTATGTGAAGAGTTTTTTGGTTTCTGCCAACACTTTCGACTGAATCTCAAAAAACGCGTTTTCTCATTCTTTGTTGTCGAATAAAAAGTTTTCCCACAAAAACCGGTGTACCCATTTTATGCGTCCATATTTTAAATACCCCCTTGAACAATTTGCATCAGTAAAACCAGACTTTACAATTATTTCTGGGAAATTTGCTGATATGATTAGACTATTATTGTTTCTGTGTCTTGTAAGATACATAAATAAAACAATATCCGTGCACTGTTTAGCACAAACTCATTAGAAAACTAATTGTAACCTCAATAGTTTATTATATGTAAATAGAATACATCATGTGGTATAATAATGAATACGTATATATTATATATAGGTAGTTGAAAAACAATTCTACGAAATTATATAGAAATTTTGGGGCAACATCACCATTAAGACTTATAAAAGTATTTTTGTAACTTCTTTTTGGTGAAAGAAAAGGTAATCAAATATAATATTGAAAGAGGTTATTAGCATATATCTAAATAACAAAAAATATTATTACCGTAAAATATTCATAAATGGGGATACCGCAGCGTTTTTCACGAAACTCGACTTTTTAAAACGGCACGGAGGATAACTGGAACAATTGCCATATGTAGGGGATTTTCGATAAGTTAATTTAATCATCATTTATTAACAAATGGTTTCCATTGAACATTTTACTCGCCAACCACACAGAAATCAATATTTTTAAAATCCGCTACGTACTTTTTTGCTATATGCAAAATTGGTTGTTTTTCTCTTTTTCTAGATCTAAATATTTGCAGCAGCTATACTGCGTGCCGCAGAGCGTCTCAAATTCTATGCGCCTCGCAAAAATTGCTGCGGTGCCACCATTTTTAAATATCTCACTGTGATAATACATGACAAAAAATTGCTGTTTTTGAAATAGGACTATAAATGGAACAGGCCAAAAACAAATAAAATATTTGATCAAAGTGTCATTTTCGGTAAGAAAAAATCTTGTAGAAAAGTGTGACGGATTTCAGAACACATTCTATACTCATCTGGTCCTTTATTCCACCTCTTGTCGGACACGTCTCTGCTAGTTCGAGTACAAATATCCAAAAAATGGAGCCTGCAATAAGAGATTTCTATACTTAAACATTCTTGCTTGATGTGCTGTGAAAACTTGTATCTATTATCTGCCCAGCGAGATAATTAAAGGCAAAGAAATGCGGGTGATATTGAACGCACGAATGCATTCTCCACGCGATATATGTATTCTCAAACAATTATTTTTTTAATAGGTATAAATAATTGAGGTATTCTAAAGTGATGAACATGCTGAAGTCTCAAATAAACAGCTGCTTCGTACGGCAACTTTGTAGGGTAAACGGTAGCTGAATGGTTGGCACTGAAGGGCTGCGGCACCAGTCACCGTTTCCTCTTTTGTGTTCTTTTGCTAGGAATATAAAAATATAGTTCTTTTACACGGAAGCAGCCGCGCAGCCAGGCCACAGCAGTTGAGGAGCTATGAAGAGCTTAAAGAAACTTTGTTAATCTGATTTTTGAACTGCCTAAGGTTAGTAGAACTGGGACCAGCCTCCTCACGTACATTGTTCCAATCTCGATACCCTAGGGAGCGGTCGTATCGGCCAGTTCTGGATGTACGAATTTCCACACGGTTAGGATGGGGGGCCGAACTCAGGCGGGTCTGTCTAGCAGGCACATCCCGCAAGGGCATCATGAAGGAGAGCTCTGAGGAGCAAAGACCACTGGCGTAGCAGCAGACGAGATCTAGATCGCCGACGGCCCACTGGTGCGAAGTGGTCCCGAGGCAATCCGTTACAGATTTTGCATTGAAGTCGCCAGCTAAGACAACGTTGTTGCGTACCTGCGTACCATTAAGGATAGTCCCTACTGTCGCTATTGCCAGACTGACATCGATTCAGCCGAACACACCTTCTTCGACTGTAGGAGATGGGCTGTACTGAGGAGCCAGTTGGAACAACAAATAGGATTAACCTTCACACCTGAGTCGGCGGTGCCCACGATGCTTGCCAGCGAGAATCACTGGCATATGATCTCATCTTTCGTGGAGGAACTACTAAAACTGAAGAAGGCAGACGATGGAGTACAAACATCCCCGAACTCCTAATCCGGCAGGTCCGGGATGGGAGATGTAGGGTGCGATTGGACAACTACTACGAGGACAACTGAAGAACAAGACGATGAAGACAAGACAGCCTGCGTGCGTGAAGTTATGCCATCTTGGCGGTTCCAGCACAAAGGCGGTTCGTAGACCCACTCGCTCCAGGTTGCGGCCTGGCGACGGTCCTATAAAATAAAAAAATAAAAAATCCGTTACAGAAGAGTCATCGATCAGTCGCACATCCCTCCTCTGAACAGCATTGATAATGTAGAACATGTGAGCAATACTCGCGGCTAGGTCTTATCTGGGCCTTGTACAGAGTGAAAAGGCCACGTGGAGAAAAGTACTCAACACTGAACAAATAGCCTAGCTTTTTCCCAACAGCTGCCGCTGAAAAAGAAATGGAGCAAGCTACACAGCACACCTCTTAAATACAACGGCAAGCATGAAGTACGGCCTAGAAGCATTATTGGTGGCGAACGACAAGAGCACCAGTCTTACGGTCTTATGCTAGAATGTTACTTCCCGCATAGTGTAGGGAACCCTTTGAACCGACGGCACTCGGTTGATAGAGCACCACAGGGGTCGTATTTGAGGCCGCCTTGCGATGATTCGAGGATACTTTGTCGGCGGTGTCTGTACAGTCGTGTGGCTGACAGCGGCGGTGGACCAAGTGATCCAATTCAGCAATGGGTGCTGCCGTGTCCACCTGTTTTTGGCACGCACGGTATTTGTGAAGGTATGGTTTATAGAAACATTTAATAATCATTTCGATATTCAGTTGGATGCTTCCTAATCCCTCATAAACCATTCCTAACAGCGGTCGAGCAAGCACGTGCCACATCAGTGTTTTAGTAGAGAGTTCATAAATCTGCTACCGTTCAGTAAATCGAAAATCGATCAGTAAATCGGGAACCAATTGAAATATAAGGTGGTGCCGTGAGATACCTTTTCAGGTCCGCATTCAAGCTCTGAACATCAATGCGCATATTTCAAAGTGAGCGTGACAACACGTTTCCGGAATGTTCAGCGGTGTCTGGGCAAGAGTCTGGATGGGGTAATCTTGGAAACCTCTTTGATCCGAACATAAAGTACCGACGATGATCGAGAACACGCGAGTGAGTTTGAGATGACGAGAAACAATTCACATTAATTTGTTCGCGAACATAGTTTGGAACAGTGAACGGAAAATCCATTGAACAAATCACACTTAGGCATCGCCGGCGTTTTCGGAATTTCTCGGCGAGGGTCGTACGAATAAGCATGTATGGATACATTGGTTTTCTGGTTTTCTCAAATAAACTAAAAACAATTTTCGATAAAACATCACATGAAACACCCATATTTTATAATATATTTCAATTTGCCGATATACGTACCTGTCTTGACAGGATTCCATTTTTTCGCATAGGCTCTGAATGAACCACGAACCTTTTTCTTTATTTCTTATCGCTGCGTATCCTGGAACAGTAGCCCAAAATGTCAATAAATTAGCAGTATATGGTAGTTTAATGGGACCATCTGTGGCAACGGTTTCTGCTTGGTCTCGGTCGTCATTCTGACAGCTCACTGAAAATATTACACAGGGTGTTTAATTGGAAAATTAAAATTTTTTAACCGTAGATACAGGCCACTGAGGGGTGATTATTGATAATCTATGGTTTATGAGTCTTTAGCTTTTATAATTAAGATGAAGGGTGTTTTATGGATTTCGTTCATTCCTTCACAGTCTCACAACTTTTCAATCCTATATTTTTTATTATATTTGTTGAAGAAACTCAGTTCATCATATCAAATCGATTGCGATATCAGCAAAAGAAGAAATACAGGTCCGGACTTATTAAAAATTTACAAGATCGCCTTACTCAAAAACAGCTCCGTAATTTCTGAATGTCTACTACATATCTGAAAAGAGCATACGAAGTTCATTCAAGGCTAAGTTTCAAAATCATACAGGATGTTTGCGAGGTTGTGATGCCATTAGAGTACGCGTAACGAGTTCGAAAATCAATCAACCATAGGTTTATTTATGGGGTACAAGAATTAAAGCCCCAGGTGCCAGCCAAATGTTTGACTTAGTAAATCAGGCAATTGAGCGTGTTCCAACGTTTATTAACATCTTGTTTTCGAATGGAGCTTATTTTCATCTTATCAGAAACCCTACATTCGCCTGAAGTGACCGTACGGGCTGCGATGTCGGTGCGGAGAATTATTGGACCTTACTTTTTTGAAGGTGAAAGCGGACGCACAGTTGCAGTCAATTCGGCGCGTTATGTTCAGATGTTTCATAAAAAAATTCAATGATAAATTGTCAAACCTTCGCACTTTAATAAACATTCAACATATTTTGGTATATTTTTTGTAACTGGTCGACTAAATATAAATTTTCTTTTGGGACATCCTGTATAATTCCCCTTCCGTGATCTCTAGCCACGATTTAGGTATTTCCCTGTCCCAATGAAATATCTTGTATGTATAACAAGGATGTTTTATTTTAAAGCTTGGTCATGTCCAAACAATTATTTATAGCTCATTCAAATGGATCAGTTTTACGCAAGTAGCTAAGCTGCATTCGCTCGACAGAAATCAAAGGTATAAATGGTAAATCGACAGTGCTAAGGCGACTATAAGTTACCAAACTAGAAAAAACCTATAAACTTTAAACACATTTTGAAATGGCAATATGCACTCACCATTGATGCATTGCAATCCCTGGCAAGACTGCAAAATTAGCACCTTGGGCTTACTTACTAGATGTGCTTTGCACATCATATCTTGTATATCATCTACCGATACTTTACAGCTGTTTGCTCCATAAACGAAACCTAGAAGCCACATATATCCATAACTACAAATGCAACTAACAAAGAATCTTGAGTTGGAGATCCCAAAACCTGTCCTTGACAAAGTTCCATCGTCCGAAGTAGTGGGAAAACTATACTCAATTATAAGCATATATTATCTCCTAAATACGGATTATATAGTTAAAGTAACTCTGAAATTTTGAAATCAGTATAATTTACTTATATCTGTACATATTTGCCCATTCGGGTTTTATTTTTTATAAACTTTAGCTAAAAGAAATAAATGTTTATTACTGGAAACTTCACGTTATTCATAAGAGAAACATTCATGGCAATAATGTTGATAAAACCCTAATCACTGCAACTTTAAAAGCAAACTTGTTATTGGTACTCTAGAATACATACCTTTATCACCATGAGACAGAATACAAATGAACAAGCTACTCTCCTTTCTAACACTTGCCACCGTTTTTCTAATAACGCGAATCATGTCCACGTGCTTGATGTTATCTTCAACAATCAACTTGAAGCGAAATTTTTTAAATGTGTTTATTAACCTCATTCTATCTTTTTCTGTACCAACTCTCTGCTCAAGTTGATCTGATTTATCTGGTAACAGCTTCTAAAAAATGCGTAGTAACTTTAATGAAGCAAAAGATAAACCAGCATAAAATCTCACTTTATACTGTTTCATTGTTTCTGTGTAGAAGTACTCTTGATTGATAATAAGTACAACTCCAGGGTTTTCTGGATCTATATGAAACTTGTTGTTTTCTGCATGAGCTGGCTCAAAGACATTTGTTTCCAAAGATTCTGGATCACCAGGACCTCGATATACTCTTACTGTCTGACTACTCGTTTTTCGTTGCCGTTGATTATCCACACTAGTTGATACTCTCCTCTCTTTTCTGTTCTTTTTTTTGTCAATTGGATCGTCACCGAAATATTTACTGAATAAGTTACCAGTGGGCTCTTCGGGAGTTAGCATAACGACAGGTGTTGAGGTTGATGGATCTACAGAAAATATTAATGTTATATACAGTGCTTCTCAAAAATGTCGCCCACCTTCTTATTTTTTGAACGGGTCGAGAAAGAAAGCTGAAATTCTGGGTAATGAAATTGATGCATGAGTACTATGCATTAGCGTAAAAGTGGCATTAGAAAATTTCAAGATGGCGGCTGGGCTGGCAGTCTACCATTTACCCAGTATTTTTTTTTCTTAAGAAAAAAAAGAAACTCACTTAAAAATTATACGTAAATTTTTTTTGAAACCCCGTACTCTCGTCTGACTTTGACACCCTGTAGATAGAGTGAGAGAATGAGGTACCATCCCTATGCCAATGAATCAAAAAGTTGTCTGGATAATGTAAATTTTTACATGGTATTATATATTTTATTTTAATTGCAGTTATAATGGAGGAGAGTCCGTTTTCGGAAATATTAAATAATGGAATTTTGTGGCTTGGCAAAAAAAGGAAAGGATAATTTCTATTAAATTTAATAATGTAATGAGCTCCATTAGCTGTGATGCAAAACCCTTTTTCATAAAACATTCAGATTCCTCACTCTATAAGGCAACAACAGAGCACACAATACTCGTCCAGTCCAAGGAATAACCATGAAGGTGGACCCAGATCGCACGACTCTAATCCGCCAAATACTTTTACTGAGGTTGTATCAAATACTAATCTGAGACAATCACATTAAAAAAAACTTTTCAGACTACTTGGCATGGTGACCATAGTTGATTTTATCATACTACAGGAATTCAAAGACAGACATGAGTAGTTTTTCTTTAAAATTTACACTTCAAATAATTTTAAATGGGTTTCTCAAGATTTTAAGCAAAACATGTTAGAGGTGAAATACCAAATTCTTCTGCAAGATTTACCTAAATCCACTAAATTTGATATTGGGGTTGCACTAAAAAATTTGTATATAGTGGATACCAAATAAAATCCGATGCACGTCATAGGTGATGTCATTCATAAAAATCATGGTTACCAACAGTTGACTACATTCAATGTGACATTTCTACTTGAAGTTTAAATTTCCCCGTCTCGATTCGGTTGGTAGTGCCGTGCAGAGAAATGTGAGGTTGCCACTTCTCATTTGTTGACATCAGTTGCCATTGTCCTTTTGTCGTACTATTAGTTCTTTATTGTTTAGTTTGTGAGTTTTGCGCTATTTGAGCTTTGAATCGTTGCCTTGCCAATTAAAAGTTGTTCTTTTCAGAACAAAAGTTACTGTGAAGTGGTATAAAGTATCCAAAATGCCAAAACAACTTAACAGTCGGTGTAAAGAGCTCATATCAATTCTGGCAACAGCGCACAGCTCCAGATCGATGACGTGCATCGGGTTTTATTTGGTATCCACTATACCTAGCCGAGTTGGCCACGGCAACAATCTTGGCTTCAAAAATTGAACCAGCTTAGACATGTTTTATGAGATAATTTAACATAGCCAATAGTGACTGGCGCTCATTATATTGTACAGGTTGTCTTAAAAGTTTGGACTTTCCTTTTCAGAAATTACTATTCTTGAGATATTTAATCACCATTCAGTGTCTCAAGATAATACTAACTTCAACACCAATGCTGTCCTTTCATTGCCACCAAGTGACATGATTGATATTTGTAAAAACGGATCCTCCTTAATATAACTGCAATGAAATGAAATTACAGCCTAGTGCGAATAACAAGAATACCACATAAAAACTGCCAATAACCAACCAATTTTTATACTAATTGGCAGAGTAATCATACTTTATTCTCTCAGCCTACTGGGCGTAAAAGTCAAACGCGAGAACGAGTTTTCATTAAAATTTAGACTTTCCTATCATTTTTATGTGGGTTTCTTGCCATCTTAAAAAAATAATACTGGGTGGGATGAGATGCAAGCCAAAAGGGGTCAGGTTTCTAGTTTTTCAACAAAAGTTTTCAATGCTGGATATCTTGAAAACTAAGATCTTTGCACAAATAGGTGAGGAATCTAGTGATCATCTCCTACTAACAGATTGTTTGCCTATCTCCAAGACTAGACCTATACTGTACTGATGAGTGTTAAAGAGCATGAAACAGCTCTGTCTGTAGTTGGTCATAGTTACAGAGATGGAAAGCAAACATTTTCAGTATAAGACAACTAGACCAAAATTTTGCCATACAGTAAGCCATGTCCTATTGTCAGTTACAAGATTATCCTGCAACTTCTAGACATATTGACACTAATGTGGGTATAGACAGATTTTGATTGGCAAAAGTTTATGGATTCAAACCCAGCCATGTAAAGTGTGATAATATATTGCTGGTTAACATCAAATTCACTCACCTTGTTGCAAAGTAGCAGTCACATTAGAAATTGTAGGATTTTTCAACTTGGGACAAGTAATCTTGCTCTAGAACATTAATGATTCTTTGAAACATACACAGAAATGCATATAGGCGGAAAAAAATGTGTAACAGATTTGCAAGTATATAGAAACACAGTTTGAGTTGAGACATCAAAAAGTAGGAAAAATGGCTGATACAGGCCACATTAACATTTAGGAGCATCTGTAAAAAAATCCCTCACATACTTTTGATGACTATATCCTATAAAATAAATTACATTACCTGTTTGTGTTGAGACTGTTGTAAGCTTCGATAATATGAATCCAATACTTCATGTATTTGTTCCTCTCCCATTAGTTTAAAAATTTTCATTAAATTTCTAACATTTGTTTGTGTAACATAATGATGGCTTTCCCAATCTAACAGGTACAGCTCCAGTACTTTTGGGTCTAAGCTGAATTCATTCATTTCTATTCCTTTATCCCTGTGATCTTTTTGAACATATTCAACTAATTTTTCTGTTTTGAATGAATTCAATTTTTCACATATTATGTAAAGCATTTTCCTCAGTCTGTTAACATAAATGCAGGTACATGCTGAACTAGGAAGGTAGTTTTTTAATGACTCTTTGTCATAACCTGATGGATCAAACAAATGTTTATTGATATATATCATCATTTGACATTTTCAAGAAATCAGTACCATCAGCAATCATTTTCGCGAGACTGATCATCAACACAAATTTAAAAAAACTGTATAGTTAATGACTGCTGGGAATAGTTTTAAAATATTTTTATCAAAACACCTGAACTTCACAATATGAACATTCAAAATCTATGTTAAAAAATTATTAATGCAAGAAAGCAATACAAATATACTAATGATGTTTTGTTCTAATCAATACTGGTATGACTCGAGGTCTTTAATGACTATACCATATCACATTACAATAGTATCCAGTAACCTATATTTATATTCCCTGTTATCAATTTCAATACCATTTTTATAATTAGAATGGATTATTACCTAGACCTTTCAAAATATGGTAATTTCGAAGAATACATAGGGCTTCTAAAAGTTGATTTTTCCATACATCTCCAGATTGTACACTAGCCCATACATATAGCACCTGTCGACCTTTATCTAATCTCCATAAGTGAATTTCTTGCAATGCATACAAAGGTTGTTCAAATAGTAGATAGATTAATGATATCTGTAATTAAAAAGAGTGAATGTGAGCTGAGCTACATCTAGATCTCATCAAATGTGGAAGAAAATTTATATTACCATATCCTGTTCATCTAAATGACTTTGTATTATATGAACTTTATCAAGTGTTATTTGGGTCCTTGCATCCGGTGGACAAACACTTCGTAATGAGGCATCAGCAGTATTAAGTGCTGTAAATTAAAAAACATTATAGGTGAATTGAGGAACAGTAGAAGGAATACATACATGTTGCTTGAGACGTCCTGGTGTTTGCAGCACTGTCAAAATCAAAACCATCAGACTCACTGTCTGAGGAAAGGTCACTTTCTGCAACATATTTATTCATTTTAGGGAAAAAATTCCCCATGTTGAACAAGCTTCCAATCCATTCAAATACTATAAGTATCAGACTGCTGATTGTATCTGAGACTATTAAGGACATACTTTGAAAATCACACCAATTACCACACTCGGACTGCTCAAAACAAGTAGCCTATGGAATGGATAATAGTAAACATTAATCTGTGGGGGATTCCCCAGCCTTAGCCTCCCTATACGAGGCTTTTGTTCATCTCTTTCTACTTTCTACACAGATTATAAGCAACGAAGAGAGATATATGTATATGACAGATTGACACAAAAAACGTTCGTGGTACACCCGATAAGTTAGTGAATTCACACAGTGAACTTAACCTAAACTTGAACACACCGGAAATTTAAAAAAATTATTCATGAAAATTGCAGTTTTGTGTTGTGTTATGGAACAAAAAGATCTTTGTAAGGTTTGTAAAATGGTTGAGTAGGCAACCAGGCAAGCATGAAACATACACAAGTATACATACAATTCAAATTCAAGCGAATAACCAAATGAAAATGGTATTTACCATTTTGGATTGGTATTTACCGATTCAAGCGAGTGTGGTTATCAGTTTGGTTATAAGATCCGTGACGTCATTAATCAGCTGTTATATGTCATAGTTATCACCGCAAAATTGTGGTATTTACCCAACTCAGGAGTAGTTTTATATTTCTGGTTATTATTTGAAATGTGACAAGTTAGAATTTTGCTTGGTATTGGATATTTTTGTTGTACTTCAGCTTCATTTTGGAGAAAATTGATACAGGCTGACCTCAGTTGTAGCATAAAGTAGAGCACCTTATTAGTTATACTCATTACTGTTGTTGGGGACACTTTAAATCTAGTTTCTATGCTTAAAAAAGTATCCTGTGTAGCTATATACCACAAGAATATTAAAATATGGCCATATAAACTCACTGGATAATGTCAACCTGTATACGGTTTTGCTAATATTTTTTTTATCGCTTTTTCCGATTATTTCTGGTAAATCAATAAATTTTTTCTTTGACATGCAGAAAAGTTTAGAGAATTGAAAGTTATCATATCTACAAAGCCATGGTTCCATCATTAAAAATTATTTTCTGAAAAAAAAAAACATTTCTCCCATTAATATTATAAAAGGTTTCTTATTTAAACTTGTTGTTGTAGACGAAAAAGCACAGATTATTAAGTGATAATAAAAATAGTCAGAAGTTATATACGCACATTTCTAAAATAAACAACGCGTTCAAGCGATTCGAGTAAAGTAACTGACGGGATCAACCCGTGTGCCATCTTAAACCATATTATAACCGCGGTACATAACACAAAATTTTTGGTTATTCGCTTGATTTGATTACAGTTATGGTTATGGTGCTACAACGGGACCATGGGAATGTTCTGAACCTGCATAGATGACTTGTCACTTCAGTGCGAGTGAACAACGGCCCGACAGACTTGAGATAAACTTTTAACGATAAACATGTTTAATTATACAGTTCAAGTATTGTATCTTAGCATTGTAACTTAAAAATCTAAAATTAAATTTTTAAAAAGGTAAAATTTCGAAAGTCGAAATTTTACTTATAAGTAGTGTTCAAAGTTGTCGCCGTTGGTAAAATGTTTCGTATATTCGGAAAAATAAAAGCTCCAATGACCATACCATGCCAGCCCACACATTCAAAGAAGATGTTTCTTGAAAATGTAATCGACGTACTACGTGAGGATCTTTCAATAACCCCACATACACACACATGAGTATTTTGGAAGTTATTGAATCCGTTTCGCGTGACAGTTGATTCGTCCATGACTAACTCCGGATTATTTTTATGTTGGCGTAACAACCACTTACAAAAACGCACTCTTGCAGGAAAATCCTCAACTTATACAAAAGGCTACAAACCATCATCACTCAGCATTTGAAGACTTGTACTTGTCTAGCAACTTCCCTAGTGCTTGTTGAAAGGTTTTTTCTACAAGAGTCAATAATTCTTTCTCAGTTTGTATCATTTGGGGTTGTCTAGGTCTCCCACTTTGCACAAGGTAAACAAATCTATGCGGCTCCGAATGATAACGATCTGCCTTCATTCGCGAATCCGCGGTAGCATTTTGAAGACACTCACCATGAATTAAAATCGGGTCGACAATATTGATATTGCTGTACGAATGTGTCATTTTGTTTTTTTTCGAACCGATTGGTAAATAAATGTTTTGTTTACCTACGCTGCCGGTGCCTGGGTTGAGTACGGACGTAAGCCGTACCTAACTTTTGATGTGATCGAGATACAGGAGCCAATTAGGCTTAGTTTAAGTTTGATTGATTTTGCGGAGCCTAATATCTCGATTATCTTAAGACTTTGGTATACATATGCTACTAGGAAAACCGCTTATGTTTTGAAAATTTCTACGACGTGTCCCAACTTTGCCGACACCCTGTATATATGCTGTGTATATATGTACGTACGCAGACCAATGGCGCACTGATGGAGACTCACCATACATTTTTTCGGGGGCTAAGTTATGCGGGTAGTCTACACGCGCTGCAATAGCAATATATCGAAGGTTTATAAAAGATATCTTGGTGTTTTCAATTTGATTAAAAAATTTCCTGTGTTTTATGGTCGGTGGATCCGGGGCAGTACTAAAATTTACGTTTCTCAAATTATGGCGCTTTCATTGGACGGCTCAGTTGTATTTTTGCGGATATTTCAAACACGTGTTTCTGATTCCATTACCCTGATGCGTAAAATAATCTAAACCTAAATGCCGTAACACCGCGGCTGCTATGATGATCCCAAAGAAACTTTGTTAATACGATTTTTGAATTGCCTAAGGTTAAGAACTGGGAAAAGCTTCCTCTTGTTTTAGATTGTTCCACAATCTCGACACCCTTGGGACAAACAAGCGGTCGTATCGGCCAGTTCTGGTTGTACGAAGTTCGACACGGTTAGGATGGGACGCCAAAGTCAGGTGGGTCTGTCCGGCAGGCACATCGCGCGGCGGCATCATGGAATAGAGCTCTGAGGAGCAAAGCCCGTTGGTGTAGCTGTAGAAAAGAGCTAGATCGCCGACGGCCCGCCGGTGCGAAAGGGTCCCGATACTGTCTTTCTAGTCATCTATCAGTCGGACCGCCCTCCTCTGGACAGCATCGAGCAAATACAACGGCGGCAGCACCCCAAACGTGTCAGCAGTACTCGAGGCTAGGCCTTATCTGGGCCTTGAATAGAGTGAGAACGTCATGCGGAGAAAAGTACTTCTAAGCCCTGAACAAATAGCCTAGCTTTTTCCCAGCTGCTGCCGCTATTGACTAGATGTCTTCGCGCCAGATCAGGTCCTCGGTGAACTGGACTCAGAGCAGCCGAAATAAATGGCCCTTTGTCAGAACTCGGCCATCCATCGAAACCGGATGAGTGCTAGGACGCTTTTTGTTCGTCAAAGTACAGTACTCTGTTTTAGAAGCATTAAAATGTACATAACCTCCAGGTCTCTCGTCGGAGGGGACGTCGTCGCTTTTTTCTAGCTCAGCGGCAGGGATCGGCTTCCCTGAATTCCTGCATGTAGAGTGCTGTCATCAGCGAAGCTGTGGATAGGGTTGATCGTGCAGGAAAGGAGGTCGTTGATATGTAAGAGGAACTGTGTCGGAGCCAAGACCGATCCCTGGGGAACACCCGCGTTGACGTTGTGGGATGAAGAGGAGAACCCGTCAATTACGACGGATATCTTGCGGTAGGAGATAAAGTCAGCCACCCACCTGCAAAGCTGTTCTGGGAGGCCATAGGATGGATGTTTGCTTAAGAGGGCAGCGTGCCACAGCTGATCGAACGGTTTCGTGATGTCAAGAGCAACGACATGAGCCTCACCATAAGACTGGATGAGTTTACTCCACAATTGCGTGACCTAAGCTAGGAGGTTCCCTGTGAGAAACTGGATTTCGTGACCTACTTATTTGACAAAGTCATGCAGTCATCAATAATGCAGCCATTTAGCACATGTTACATACTATCTAGTCTAAGACAATTTGAGGAGGTCCCGTGTGAAACGTTGGTGCCGGAAACCATACTGCCTGTCGCTAATCAAGCTGTGACGTTTGAAGTAGCCCAGCTCGCGATTTATGCACCTCTCCATCACCTTACTTATAACAGAAAGCAGAGCTATAGGCCTGCAGTTGTAAGGGTCGTTCTTCGATTATTTCTTTGAGATGAGTTGGACATGAGCAAATTTCCAGTTTTCTGGGAAGGGTCCGAATTCATAAGATATCTGGAAGAGACGCGAAAGAACTGGGGCAAGCTCCGCTGCACACCTCTTCAGTACAATGGCAGGAATCAAGTCCGGACCAGAAGCTTTGTTGATGTCGAGCGACAAGAGCACTCGTCTTACGGTCTTACGCCTGAATGTTATCTCCCGCACAATGTAGGGAACCCTTTGAATTGACGGCACTTGGGCGTTGGGTGGGACACCCATGGTGGAGTTGGCAGCAAAGATCTTGGCAAGCACTCAATAATAAATAGATCCGCAGTAACAATAAATAAATGTGCTGATACGATCCAATCAAAAGTTCCTTAGGAATAAAATAACAATTTTTGAGTTCCTTAAAGAATCGGTTGTACACCCACACAAGCCATAATGTGATATGTGTGTCAGCACCGTAGCTCTCGAGAATCAGGGTAATATACTCTCACATCTGAACATTGAAATACTCAAAATAACCGATTATTGTACTTGTAGTACCCTTTTTAAAAAAATCAATCATGATGCACAATTCACGTTGTAAGAACCTACGAGGTCCGTAAATTAAGTGATGAGATTGATTTTTTAATTTTTTTTATTCAAATATAAGTACAATTTTATATTGGCACCCTCAAAATAACTTCCTTCTGAAGCCACACAGCGCTGAAGACGGTTCTTCCACTCCTCATAGTAGTTCTGGAACACCGATACTGGAATACCCTTCAGCTGGTTTGAATGATTTCGACTGACACAAAATGATCTCCCTCGAGATGATTTTTCAACTTCAGGAGGAGAAAAAAGTCACAAGGACCCAAGACAGGCGAATAAGGAGGCTGAGGAGCCACAGGAACGTTATTAATGGTCAAGAACTCTTTTATTGACCTTGTTGTGTGACAAGGAGCATTATCGTGTTGCAATACCCACTTGTTCTTGATCTGATGAACGGTGGTGTGAGTCAAATTTAACTCTCCCCCGATCATTTTGACTGTCAACCGCCGATCTGAACACACAAGATCCCGGATTCTGACGATATTTTCATCGGTTCTTGAAGATGAAAGCCTTTCGCTTCGTGGTTCATCTTCAATCGACTCTCTCCCTTCTGAGAATGCCTTCATCCACCGAAAAACCTGGGCTCTTGGCAAAATACTACCTCCGTAGGCCTGCTGAAGGTTAGCAAGAGTTTCTGTTGCACTGTGCCCAAGTGTGAAGCAAAATCTGATAGCACACCGTTTCTCGAAATTGATGTCGTAAACTTTTAAATTACAATAGAAAAACCTCTTTCACAAAAAAAAATCGCTACGGACAAACCAAATGACCGAGTTCAAACTTGTACTGGGTGGATCGCATATTCCCCTGTTTCCCCTCCAATCCCGGCACCGCCAGTGTTGCCAGATCTAACGCTACGCTGCCAGTCTCATCACTTAATTTGCAGACATCGCATGACTTCACAAATCACTAAAATAATAAACAAATTACATTTTTAAACGTTTATTATAAATACTAATAGTTATACAGTCACAGATTATTTGTCTTAAATAAATAAAATTTTAAATAAAACTGACGCTGTACAAAATATTCATAATATCAACAAGTAACAGTAAAAAGAGTATTTCAACTTCATCTTATTTATTTCTCGATAACATACAATAGTACATATGGATAAACAGTTCAAAACATGCCATTATTTTCATTAATGAAGTATTGCAAGTGAGAAATATCACATGAACATACAGAGGTTGAAGATTATTCTTTATAAAATGTATGTATGTATATTATTAAGAGTTTTGATTGATATAAAGTAACTACTACAATTCATCACCGGTTTGTCTGGGTGGTACGTATGATTTAACAATTAATGTTTAATGTACATTAGTCGAATCTTTCAGTCCCAGAAGCCAGACAATATGTCAAATTTAAAGTGATATAAATGGACATAATAATTTGTCTGGTAACGCTGTTAATTTCTTTATATAACATTTTTTCACAAATTGCAGAACGAACTGTATACCCCTTTTGTGTTAAAGATCAGTAGCAGCAAGTACAAAGCCACTGAACAATGGTTTTCCTGTTGTAAATTAAAATGCTCAATTTCTAGAACATGTTGCACTCAAGGCCTCAAAAAAAAAAAGAAATAAGTAAATACTTAAACAAAAATTAACACCGTGTATCAAAAAAACGAAACAAGTCGAAGTATACGATTATAAAATTTTGTATGTGATATTAAGGTTTGGTCATTAACAGATACCACCAGAGTTTTCTCAACTCAATTTAAAAGTCCGCCTTTGCGAAAATAATCATAGATAGCTTTGCACATAACTATACATGGTGACCGATAATTCGATGTATCCTTTCCAGAGTGTGATAGGGGGCCAAAAATGGAACAAATTTTAATCTACATATATATGATATATGTATAGGCATTAAACAATAATTTTAGGGGTTTTTTAAATTCATGTCATGTCAGGTATGGGTAAGACTGCGATTGATTTTCGTAGTTGCAATTAAATATGCGAATGATATCATAAAAGGTGCGAAATTCCTATACAAAATACTCGTAGAATAACAGGTATTCTAAAAAACAGTATAGCTTTTTCAGTTTTCCTCAGAACAATGTTGTATCTAATGCTAATATACCGTACGTGCAAATTACTAGAAATACTTGCCCGTATTGTCAGCTATCCAAGAGTGATTAATTCTATACAAATAGTCAAATAATAATCCCTTAAACGATAATTTTAATATTATTATATATTAATACTCATTTTTCACAGTATTGCTCAAATTGATAAAGCCAAGCTGGAACTGAGGTCTGCATGCAGTTTTTAGCACATACTTTTGTAATCTTTGAGGTATTTGTGGTCCTTATTTGTTTCACATTTATATGAGCTAAAGAAATTGTTCCAGTATATATAGTTCTCTTACTCTATTTTTCGATACGTAGATCATCAGAAGCTTCAAAATTGTAGAGAATCCGTCAATGATTGATGATTGGTTTACAGAAACATTTTATGGTTATGCCCGCCGAAAATATTGTTATCGCTCTGCCAATCGCCGAATTTTCTGTATCTTGGGGGCTGCTAAGAAGCTACGTATCGAAAACAACAAGGGCAGTGGTCAGGCTTCAGCGAATTCGATATACTGGAGCATTTTCTTTAACTCATCATAAATACGGTAAACAGTTAAAAGGGCCACTTTTGCCGCAAAAATGACAAAAGTAGGTGCTAGAAGCTAAGTGCCGACTTCTATTCAAACTACTTTGATTTGACCGACTATTTGTTAAGAATTAGCTCTCACACTGATGCTTAATATCACTTTGGAAAGCTGACAATATACTATTTTTTTTGTTTGTGCAATGTACTAGCAATTTTTAAAACTAGATACAACGTTTTTCTAAGGAAAAGTGAAAACGAAGACAATTTGGTTTTTAAGATTAGTCTTACTATAGTTTTACTGACGTTGCAGTCAATGTAATACGCTATTATTGGTCAAATAGGAATCAAAAGGTCAGTTTAGAAAATGTCGGAATCAACTGCTATAAAGTTTGATGTTCCATATTGGGTTTACTTTACATATGAGATTTCCATCAATATGGCCATTATTGTACAATCCATCACTTTGCAGATGATACTCAATTTTATTTTAGTTTCCAACATGAAGATTTTAAAATGAGAGGAGCTTAATCAACTAAGATTTTACAAGGCTAGCAGATATCTCGTGCTCGCATAACCTAAAAATTAATTCATCTAAATCTTCAGTTATGGTTTTCGGTCCAAAAAAAAAAAAAAACAAACGAACATCGATTGAAACGGAAATTAAACTTAAAATCAACCGGCTTCCTATAATGAGTGAGTGTAAAAACCTGGGACTCTGGATTGACACAGAACTAAAAAGCATGTGAATTCATTATGTAGTGCATCATACTGGATTTTGGAGCACTTTTATCCGCATAGGCAAATAATGTCTACTTCAGTAAAACTAAAATTGTGTGAAACATTAAGTAGGTAAAAAATCAGTTATTGTGGCATTATACATATATGGCCCCGCTCTATCATGAACAAAGCAAATTACAGCGTATTCAAAATTCATGCGTCAGATTTTCTTGCGGAAGACGAAAGTTTGACCATATTTCTCATAAATTTAAGGAACTTGGTATTCTGCAGATAAAAGGCATGCAAAAATTCCACTCATTGACACTCACAAATAAGGTTTAGCCACCAAACAACCACGACATTTACATAAGTTAGTACGATGCCGCAGCATAAATTAACTGGATAAAAGGAACAGAAATATGTCAGTGACACCCTTACATTCTCAGGCTGTACCTACAAAAAATTATTTAGTTACAAAGACATTAAATTATATAATGATCTGCCTGTTACGTTCCAAAATTACACAGTATTTAATGTTAAAAAGAGACTACAACTAAAATTGCACGTTGAGGTCTAAAGGTGAACAAAAAAGGCTGGAAATATTCTATTGGACTATTCTTGTGATTGATTATATTTGTTTGTGTTGTTAATTAATAAGTTATTATTGAGTGATATAGGTACATTTCTATTAGTTAAGTATTATACTTGTATTATATAATTTGTTGCTTTAAGGGTTCAGTTGACAAATGCTAATCTTAGTGACACTTCGCCTTTTTTGTACTTTTGTACGATTATTATATTATATTATTATTAATTTGAGTACAGACTACGAAAACCATAGCAGCTCACTCATATCTAACATAGTCGTTTAATATTCAGACTAAAATATCCAATTTCGGGTAATGGTTCAAAATCACAAAGAACCGAAAAGTCTCGAAAACTATTGATTTTCGAATAATATATATATATGGTGAGATTTGTTGGATGTTAGACCCCCTATCAAGTCCTGGAAGGAATAATCAAATTATTGGATATAAGATAATGACTATACTTATTGATTAAACAAGCTATGACATTCCTAATTTCACCAGTTTGAGTGTTATGTTTATTTTGCACCTGAGTATTTTTGTAAGGCTTCTTAGTACTATAGAGTTTTACCACTTTTAAACTTCCTCTAAAAATGCTAATATAGTTAGCGAAACACGTGTCGGATATTAAAAAACCGGTTTGAGTGGTAAGTCTGAGTAGTAGTTATATACAGATACGACAGCTACTGTCGCTGCCTTTGATTTTCGTATCTCCAACTGTTCCGCGCGTTTCCTACCTGATTCCATGGGCGTGTGTCCGGAGGAATTTTGCCCAGGGTTGGTTACGCTGATGTCAAGAATGTCATACTTCACAATCAAGAAATTTATCATTTGCCCACATCCATTTAGGATTTTTATACTGAATATAACCTTAACTACCAACAACAGTAGAAGTAAGTAAATCGAATATCCCTAAATGTCACAGTAACAGCTGATAGCAACGAAAATCCTATGAAACGCATAGGACTCAAGTTGTCGTTGATAGAAACTGATTTTTGGCAGGCGGGAGCCTTTAGTAGTACTCTGTGGTTGCTACGCCAAATGATCCATTATCACATTGTTTCAAATTCGACTCCAACCATTGGGATATATATAATCGTTCTTGCAACTCTAATAGGAGTGATAATTGTTGGTTGGGCTCTAAAACTGTAAGAGATACGAAGTCGCTTGAATGAGGAAGAAGTTGGACAAACGCCGTTTAGAAAGAAATTCAATGTACTCGTACTTCCTAAGAGAGACGGGAAAAAAGACTTTTCCCAAAGTGGAGTTTTTAATTTTTTCCCGACTTTATTTCTAGTGGGATTTCAAAATAAATTACACATTAACATTGTCACTTTTTCTCCTCTACGAGCTGGCATAATTAGAATTTCAATATGATGTTTCACCTCTTGTCCTGCAGCATTCTTTATAGACGCCATATTGGATTTTTGCATAGATGAAGAGAGTTTTTAATTCTGATTCCAAAAATGTATGATACGTCATACATTGATGTTGCAAAAACTTAAGTTACATCAAAAAATGCAGGATTTCCTATGTAGGCCTTGAAATTATCAGAGAGTCATTTGTTTCGCCTACTAAAATCACTTTTATTTTTATCCTGAGTTTAATGGCCGTATCATCATTCATTCCTACAATTGTAGGACACCTTTATGGCCTCCTTGATTGTCATAGTATTTTCTCTCCTTCAAAAATTTCTAGATTGCATCTGTTCCGTGTCAGCGTCAGCGCTCTCCTATTGTGAAGTTATGTTTTCTTTTTGAATTGTGGGAAATTTCAGGTTGATAAAACATGATATAAATCAAAAGATTGAACAATTTGATGCAAATAGATACTTGTGACATAACCTCAAAATAGAGCGGTGACACGGAAAAGTAGAAAACTATGAAAATCAAGGAGGCCATAGAGGCGCCCTACAATTGTATGAACGACGGACGAAACGGCCCTAAATGTACAAAATTCCAATGTAGTGTCCATATGGAAAAACAATAAAGGTGGTGATGGAAGTCAAAAGAAGAAATGTCGAATTGAAAATTTGACTACACCATTTGAATCGTCTGGTTTCAAAACTCGACAAATCCAATTTTTGCGGAAAATGAGTTTGATATGGCAATATACTCTAATATCAATTCTCTATCATTTAGTATATTTTGATACTTCAGAATACAGCAAATCCGTATAATATTTGAATTTAAAAATAGCTGTTAGCTTCAAAGCCCGACAATTACAGTCAGAGTTGAAATCAAATACCGACAAATCCAGTTTGGCCAATCAGAACAGCCGAACGAGGTCATACCTTCCACCCTCCACTGTTTATTCAACCGTCTAGATTTTGATAGTAACATCGCAGAGCTAGTACGTCTAAGCAAAACGAACAGTTTATTTGTGTATACATTTGAAAATACTTACCAATAGCGTGTATTTAATTAATGTAATAACACCGCTAAACAATATTATACATACAAATACTATTAGATACTAATAATGGAGCTTATTGGTGAGTGCCCTAAGCCGGTGACTCCAGATTTGGCGCGAAAACGTGTATCCCGACCAAGCATGTGGAAACGAGAGGTGCAAAAGAATGAGAGGTAAAAAGCATTTTTTTAAATTAAATATTACTTCTGTTTCCATAATTTTCAGATATAAACCTACAGATTTACCTGATTATCCAAGTTGTCAGCATGCTACAAAATCTTATAGATGTAGCTACCTGTCCATGCGTGATGTGAAAGAGTTTCATCGACATTTTTATTTGCATAAAGATAAGGTAGGCCAGGATAACTTCATTATTAAATACTGCGAGACACATGACATCAAACGTCGAGGCCGTACCGACAATCAAAACTATCGAAAAACCTTTTCCATAACGTATAATATTGGCCTCGCCGACTCGACTAAAAAAATTCCTGTTTGTCAGAAAGCCTTTGTTTCTATTTTAAAGATAAAGAAAGATCGCATAATAGGTGTGTTGAAGCGATTTCATGAACAAAAACAGATGGCTCGCGAAAACAGAGGAAGCGATCGAAAAACGCTCGTATTTACGGCGAAAAAATCATCTATAATGAGATTTATTGAAAAACATAGATCTGTGGAATCTCATTATTGCAGAAATAGGAGCTGTCGCACTACCTACCATCTGAACTAAATATTTCAAAGATGTGGCGGAACTACTGTAAGGAAGCAGAGGTTGATGCTTCGATTATCATAGTTGAAAAAAGTTACTTCCGACATATTTTTAATACTTGCTATAATATTGGCTTTGGTTCTCCAAGAACTGACGTTTGTTCGACTTGCCTTCAACTGATGGAAAAAATTAAAGTCGAAAATGACTCAACGCAGGTTCCATAAATTACGGGCAAAAGCTTTTTTTGATTTACCTAGGGAAGAAAGGCAAGGTCTTAAGACAATATCTTTTGACTGTCAGAAAAACCAGGCAATGCCAAAGATTCCTGATCAGTCGGTCTATTATAGTAGACAGCTATATACCTATAATTCTGCCGCCGTAACAGGATCTTCTCATTCACTACTATCTAAGGAAAATGTATTTTTATATACGTGGACCGAGGACCAACATCATAAAGGTGCCAACGAAATTGCCAGTGCAGTCTTCCACAAACTTTGCAGCACAAACATGGAAGTTATATTTCCCGTGGCTGGACACTCATTCATCCCACCTGATAGGGTTTTTGCTCGTATCGAAAAAGTGATAAAGAAAAAAAAACCATCGCATCGCCAGATGAGTTTCCAATATATTTAAAGATTATGGAACTGTTTTTATACTTGGTAAGGATGTCAAGGTATACGATTGGAAAAAAGATTCTCAGAATTCAATCAAACCACCTGCTCAATGGCATTTCAAGATTTAATATGAGTAAAAGATTTTTACTTAGAAAAGGTAGAAACAAAGTAGTCACAGTTCGAGGAGAACAGTCTTATAAGACCGATCTTGGAGAGTATACGTCCGTATTTAAAAAAGGACAGACAGTAAGCAGCATTATACAGTCTGAAGTACCTCATGGTGTTATGCCCAATCAGGCGAAACTTAACGACGTAAAGGTTCTAATAGAAAAACACTGGGGTAAGGAATGGCATGCGTTAGAGAATCTGCAGTACTACAGTGAAGTTCTAAAGAAGTATGATGAATCTCCCCTCGTTGACAGCGCGGAAGTTGAGGCTGGAAACTTATGTGAACCAGTTGAGGAAATTCCCGATTTAGTGGTCTAATTATTTTTGTATTATAAAACACGTTTGTATATTTATGTTTATTAAAATAATTTCAAAGTAATACGCCATTTTTATTGTTTTTATTCAAGTCTGAATCAAGACAAACTCTTCTAAATGAGAGGCAAAATCCGACAAATCCAAATTTTAATATCAAAATCAGACAAATCCATTTTATTTATTTAAACTCTGACTTTATTAATGTACTTTAGAAAGAAGCAATTCCGTTTTATATCTTACTACCATGGTCCTGATATGACTACCAAATATCTTCAAAATTAGATGAATGGATCATATCAGAACAGTTTTTTGCATTTTACCAAAATTTGACCTAAGTGGATTTGTCGGGTTTTGAAACTAGGGGACTCATTTTGTATAGGAGAATGAGTAACAATGACAACGCGCAATTTATTTTTAAATCTCATCTCAAACAAAGTCGAAAAAAATAAAAGTGATTTTGAGATAAATCTGATATGCGAAACAAATGACTATCTGATAATTTCAAGAGCTACCTAGGAAACTCTGCTTTTTTGAAATAACATAACTGAGGTCTGGAAATGTCAATGTATAACATGTTATAAATTTTCGGAATCAAAATTAAAAGCTTTAGTCATCTGTGCAAAGGTCCAATATGGCGTCCATAAGAGAAAATAAAGTTGATGCTGGTGAACAAGAGACGAAACGTCATATTAAAATTCTAATTATGCCTTCTTGTAGAGGAGAACAGACAACAATGTTAATGTGCAATTTAATTTGAAATCCTACTACAAATATAATCAGGACAAAATTAAAACAATTTTGGGAAAATTCTGTTTTTTCCTTCTCGTTCCTAAGAGGCATTCGGTTGATTCCTAAATACACAATTTTGCCCCCATTTGAGCGTATCTTACAGTTTCCTAGATCCCAATGCTGAGGGTTGCATTTGAAACAACCTGTATTGTGCAAATTAGTTCCTTCAAAATGAAAATCCTGCTTGTATCCTTACAAATAAATTAATTTGTACTCCAGAAGTAATCGGGAAATTGAATTTCCACCATTATATTACCCTTTATTCTCCTGAGTAACTTGTGCGGCCAGATCAGCAAAACTGGCAGAGAAGTCCATGCTGCTTTCAGTCAACAGTGACTGTAACTGTGCATCGACATCATGCGACATATGACTGTCGTCTACTGATAAATTAGAGGAGGAGCTGGCTTTAACAGGCGACTCTAAATGTCCTAGTAAACTGCTTAAGGAGTAATCCACTACTTCGGAGCTTATCCACTGGTTGTCTCCTAAAAAAAGGTGAATGGGTAAGAAATATTTATAAATTATGGCAAATTAGTTTTTTTACATCCGGGCAAATTATAAGGGTTATTGGTTTGAATAGGAGTCAAAAATTGGGGGGTGGAGGGTTGAAGGCGGTGGGGGAGGTTGTGAGGCAATTGTTTGATGTTACTGTATTAATATACTTCCAATACCGATAATTCTACCTATTAGACATATTTTATACGCCATAGATTATCCCGTATATTTGTCCTTGAAAGAACGACACAAAAATGTTTTCACAAGCGTCGCTGCGTCTGCTAGCTTCAACGGCCGCGGTCGGCGTGCCGGTGGAGAGAGGCGACGAAACATAGTCAGATGAAAGGTACTATGGGTACTATGGTAGGGCAGGAAAAGGATGGTACACACTAATTGCACGGACATGTTTGATGGACTTGATTCGTTTAATTTCTTGTTATACATGTTAGTAACTGAACTTTTTCTTAGAGAGTCTAACTTAAGCATGCTGCTTTCGTCCGCCCACATACGTTTCATGCTTTTTTGGCAACTCATCAGCATGGCCTAATCTTGGTCTCTGGGACAACGAAGGAAGTCAAGCAACTATCCTCTATCCAGTGTATAAGATCTTTGGCGCTATCTTATTTCGATAGGGTCTTACTTGTGCTGAAAGTAATCATTTATGAACTGATGGCGTTGCGTGGGAAATGTGAAGTCAACCTACGTGACGCTATGTTTTGCTTTATATTTTCTATTTTAAATGTACGGTATACAATCAAAAATATTTCACGGAATCGGGTATTTATGCGTGTCTGAATGTGTAGCTGTTTTTGACCTCCTACTTCAAATGGAGTTTGTTTTATTGTATGTATCTTCTTCAAGAAATCCAGTAAGTATTGTAATTTTTTTATTAGTATATGTGTCAGAAAAAAATGACGGTTTCAGGTATTATCGGTTTGTTTCCGAAAATACCTTGGATTGTAATATTTTCTAGGTGGATAACATATGAAAACATACATCTAATTTAACTGACTTAGCATTTCTTCCCTTTCTCGAGATTGCAACCCATATTATTAGGAGATTAAAATAATTTTATTCCTACTCTTCAATTTTTTTTCTAGTTATAGAACAACATATTAGAACTGAGTTTAGAACTTACAAGAAATACCTGTACACTTAGGTTCAAGATAAATCCAACAAGCAAAATTTTGGTTAAATTATGAACGTCATAACTATTTTACTTTTGCCCCTATTTTATTGATTTTTTCGTCAGACCATAGGTACACTCATTGGCATTAATAAGTAGATATGGGTTCTTGAATGTAACCACGGTTTCACTTGTACAGGGTAAATCAAAATGATGTTTTATTACTCCAACTTTGAGTCACTCTGTGGTGTTAATCCAGCCGCCAATCAGACCGCAATGCTTTCCATTTTCAAGAACCACATTTTTTCTATGTGAAATAGTGTTAGAGTGAATATCGTAAACAGTTGCGAGTACAATGCGCCTATGCCCAAGACTTTGCATGAAGCGTGGCAACGTTGGGTCGTTTCTCACTATTGCTGGCTTGACATGTGACTGATTTTACGAGAAAGCCTCATTCATAAATTTGGACGTGTCGTGTTGATCGTCGTGCAAATTGTGTTTTTGGGCTTTTAAACTAGTTAGAACTACTATTTTGTTGACCATGGTTCGCCAATCCTGTACAACGTACACAATCAGCAGACTGGAGAAAAAGAACTTTTTTCGGCAAGTGAATTTAAAAATTAAGGAGTCTAGGAACTCCAGTGGGGGTGCGGTGGCCGTCCGATGGCTTTATGATTTCACTCGAATTGGGTCTTTTAAGGTCAACTTTACATTTAAAGCACTTCCGTTATTTTTTTAGAATGTCTACTGAGCCTACAAGAAGATCTATAATATGGGTATCACTTATGGGGTTGAAGAAACACCATCAGTTCCCAAAAGTCTGCTCAAAACACTTTAAAAAAGGTTATTTAGTGATAATGTCTGATGGAGTTAGGCATCTGCGATGAAATGCACAAAAAGCGTCAGGGAATATTACAATAGTCATTAGTGATAAAAATGGTAAAGTGATAATAATAAAATATCTGCATATTATCCTACAACTGCATGCTCTTAAACAAGAATTGTTAAATGTGAAACATTCCATAGTTTGCCTGGCTAGAGTTATTAGGTCCATATTTTACGAAAAGCTGCTTATCAAGAATATCCCAATGATTGGAATTTCATCTTACTAATGCACTAAGCTTTGAACCATGGCATCCTTATTTTGTTCAATTTCTCACATGTAACCTATTAACTAACTAAGGGAATACTTTTCTACCTGGTATACAGGATGAGTGGAATTTGTTAATCAATGCTATGTGATAATATAACATACATTCCTTAAGTAAGATGCTCTACATTTTATTGCAGATTAGGATAGGCTCTTTCAAACAAAGACATTTGTTATAACATACTATGGGGTTTTGATTTCAAACTGTTGAGATATTTGACAAACAATTGAAAAAACACTCAGCTTTGACAAATTACGATTCTGATGTATCTGATATTGATTTCCTTTTTAGGAAAAGCCGTTATATTGGTGACATTTCCAGTAGTGATGTTTCGTCACCTGTCAGAGCAAAAAAACGTTCACGTAATGAATAATGTTATACAGGCCCAAAGAAAGAGGATTCATGGACTTCAAGTCGAAGTAAACTCACTGAGGGAGAGAGTAAGGACATTAAACAATGCCTTCTGAGCGTCTTGAAGGAAAATTCCTACATAAATGACTCATGAATCTTGTGTATATTAGTCAGTAGGTAATAGTGCAGATTTTGTTAATGTTAAACTTGTTTGTCAAATGTCAACATCTGATAGAATTTGATATAATTCCCCAGGGAAGTGAGCCACAGCCATTTTCCACTCAGTGATTCTTCTCCCTCGTTTTGAAGAATAGGAGTCCTGGTTGGAATCCAAACCAGTATTTCCCGCCAGACGATAAAAAGGCATTTTGTTACCTGTTATTATTATATTGTTGAACACGCTCCACGATACGATGACTACTTATTATTGTATTTTTCTTGTAGAAAAAACTGCACAAATTCTGTGTATCTATCCAAAGTCATACCAAAAAGAAATACGTATTTGGTATTCACATGGAAACCAAAAAATAAAATCTGACGTGAATCTTATGGTATGATACTAAAATCGATGTTTCATTCACCGGATAGATTCTTATACATTGAGTGAATTTCATACGTCTGATTTAGAAACAGAACCTCTTTATATATACATAACCTGATTCAAGAAATGCTCCAAAAAATATATGGCCGACGCGAATTCCACAGCTTTAATAATCAATCATTATTTTGTTGTGAGTGCGGTAATATTTTCATTATGATACGCTATTGGTTCAGTCATTCTTTCCAACGCGGCAGCCATTTTATTCTCTCGGCCACCAATGAATGTTTTGAATTAAACAAATGTATAATCATGAATGAACGTCAGTTTCTATATCGTCGGTAGTGACTCATCATTTTTGCTTTCATCAAATCATTGCAATTCTCATGGAAAATTAATTCCGGTCAATTTGGTTGATATTCTAGTATGATATCGTCTATAGAATTTGGTCAAAAGTCTCTATGAGCTTGAGGTTCGTATATTTTGATCAAAGGTCTTCATTTGCTGAATTGGCTTCTGAATTGTCCAAGTGCAGCAAATGCATGGTAAACGGCAATTCTATAAAAACGTGACTGAACAATGACCGGCAGTCGATAGATGGGTTGCAGTTGCATTTAAAGTCATCAAACAAGAAACCATGATAATGTGGTGATATTCCTTGTGATGTCATACCTTTTTGTGAACTTATTAGTCCTGCACATCCTGTAACTCGTAAACCGTTAATCCTAGAATCTTCCACGTATTTAGACTTTTGCTCATAATAGTACAGAGCTTTGACAGCGAACCATTTTCAGTTCCTTTTTAAGAAAATCAAAAACAGGCCAACATCCAGTAGATGGATCACAACAGCTATTTATTACTTTTCTCGTCAACTTCCAAATACACACAATATGGTGACGTTTTTGTCGAAATGATTTCTTTGAATTTGCTACACTATCAATCAATTTGATTGGAATTTATTTATTTTCCATGAGAATGAACTGAAGTTTCTAATCAATAGCCAAAGAAATCATAAAAATCTTGTTGGTCCCTGTCGTAAAATCGTATCTTTTTCGAATTTATTACAACCTGTAACTCGAAAACAGTTGATTAGATGGTATTTATTAAAATTTCAGTCAATTTGATCGGCAGGGGTATTAAGTATCTTGAAAAGTGACATTGTCGTTTTTTTTTAAATTATATGTTTTTGTGATATCATGTAGGTTTTTCTACAAGATGTAAACTTAAAACTAGCTGCAGTTGTCACTTGATGTGCACTCGACCTGTAGCTGTACGTGTTGCCTAATATCATGTCGCTTCAGTTTGCTCTGATGTGATGTAATGTCTGCCTCAGGGATGGTAATATTGGAGGTCTAAGATGTAAGATGTACGTTATAGCTGGCAGGGAACGGCAGTGCATATGTGTATAGTGAAGATTTCTGTGCTAATAATCGGTGTGGATGAACATCCCCTTAGTTTCTTGTCTCAAATACACTTGCTTGTGATGTATGCTTCATCCTGGAGATTTCATATGCAAATTTGCTGAATTTCAAAAATGAGAGAAAAAAAAACCCTGGTGAGAAGATAGGCGACAGATAGGAATATTTATTAAACATGAAAATGTTATTACATTGCACATTATTTTTTATTTCCAGTCATTTAAATCTCATAGAAATTTATTTTGCGGTATTAAATAGAAAACAGGGTCTAGATGTGAAGCACTGCAAACATTTTTTTGTGTGTGATGTGTCATTCTTAATTTTTCTATGTTGTGGCTTAATTGCACACAACGCGGGCGCGGTGGTGGTTTTCTGTAATGCTTCTTAAAGTTTTTGAACACGCAAAAAATGATTTTTTATAACTTTGAACATAATCTCTCTTGGGAAAGGACAACGCAAATAACACGTCTGGTACAGCTAGCAGATGTACTTCACGGGCAGCATCTTCTTAATTTTCTCACATAGAAAATACCACTGATTTTATACATATGCAGCCCGATACACACAATCATCCAGATGCGATCTTGCTTCTCAACCGATTTTATGTCATATCTTCACTGATATCTATCTCGGCATTCTGCAACCAACAAAGCATGCTGGGGAACTGACTTGCAGCATGGTCATTGAGCGTGTCGTGTCGTTGAGTCATTCCTCCATAGATGACGCCTTTGGTGACGCTCACAGCGCTCATAGCAACCAAACGCGGAATGAACTATTTACAAACCAACTAGTTAGCAAGTCGACATTTCGTCGTTTTTTTGCATCACATAAGTTTTTTACGTAATAGCCCTGCGGGAGCCATTTGTCATAAGGAATGTGCCGTTGAGTGTTTTCCCGTGGGGGAGTTTAGTTTATGTTAATATTCCGAAGAAAAGTGCCAATTTAGATAAATATACGTCGCATTGAAAGCAAAATTAAACCCGTTATGCCTCAGCGCGTGATGCAAAATGCGACGAATATATTTCATAAGTGCATGCAACGAGTATATGTCATAATCTTAAAGAAAAAAACATTTCGCATTGGTGCTTCATTTTCAATAAAAACATGTTTTCCAGGATGTGTAGTATTTTTTTTTTAATTGTAAATCCGTAATCTACTCTATGGCAGCCTGTATATAAGAAGTCTATTGCAGATACCAAAAAAAGGCAAAAGGTAAGAAGAGAACATGAAAAATATCTTGCAAAGACTAAATAACTCAAAGAAAGGTGTGACACAAGCAATTTCATACTCTTGCTATCCCCAGTGTTGCTGTTCTAATGCTGTTTAAAAGTATGAGCCCAGCCAACTCCAAATTTGCTAATCGATCGCGTGCCATTATTAGATGCGTCTTTGGTCTCTGTATTGTTAAAATTATGGATAATAAATATACATACCTTCCTTTAGAATTCTGGAAGGACTGGTAGGAGCAGAATTTAAAATGGTATTCTCATTCACCAGTTCCAGGTTCACCTCACTTTTTATTAAAGAAGCTGCCAGAATATCAGTGCCACAAGATTCTTGGAGAAACACAGGATTGGAAGTACTTGCTATACATGGGGTGGTGTGCAAATTATCCTCAGTCTTCAACAATATGCCACTGATGGTTTGTGATGAATCTGGTATTGTCTTGGAGTTATCCTGTGATATGATGTTTACTCTTACAATTTGATGACCACTCTCAACTCTATTTGGAAGTAAAGGCAATCTCCTTTCCACTACCACTTGCTTGGATTTTGGCCTTCCTCTCCTATTGCAGTACTTTGGCTTCATTCTTTGGATAGAATCAATCTGCGACATCAACTTGGACTGATTCTGATGATAATCAGCTGGAGATATAGGTAATTTTGGCTGTAAATATACAGGACTTGAAGAAAATCTACGACCATTCTCGAGTATACCATCATTTACACTGCATTTTGTTTGAACTGTATCACAGGCTTTATCGTTTGTTGTCGCAATCTTTTTGACAGACTTTTTTACTGACGTATTTGTACCACAAACATGCCCACAAGGACAGCTTATTACATTTTTTCTATAATGTAATTTTGCTGTTGATAATAGCTTCAGCAGCGCCGTACTAATATCAAGTTTCTTCAAATTCTCAATGAAGCTTTCTTGTTCATCTCCCTCGTTGGATTCTGTTATTACTTCCACGCCACTATCAGGACTTAGTTCAACTTTGCTCTGTATTGTAGCTTTGACCGGATCCCAGCTGTACTCCAAAATTAATTTAAATTCAGACCCAAACATCAGGTATATCTCACCTAATGTCAAACTCTCACACTCTTGCAACGTCCAGCCTTTTCGGATTGCGGCTATCCTAGCTTCCTTTTCCTTGTTTTGCAATTCTTCGTTTTTTATTTTTAAAGCAATACTCTCTTGGTTATCCTGTGACTTTACTTCTTCACCGACTTTAGTTTCAGGGGACTCACTATCATTATTCTCATCTATTTCTTCATTACTTGTGTTTTTCAGAGGAGATTTTTCACTCATGCTTCCTGTTCTAAGTCTACCTTTTCTTGAATTACTTTTACTCAGCCTGTAGTGGTTGTCATTATATCTTTTATACTCTGGATTTATGATTCCTAAACTTTTTTCATACAAATACAGACTAACGCCTTGTCTGGTGAGATACTCTGACAAATTAATAGTAGGAAGTTCGATTTTGCATCCTTCAGGTGGTGTCAATCTTAATAGTGGATTGAGAATAGTTCGATTTTCCGAGCACTCTGTTTCTGAAGGCATACAGGAGTTTGTAATGATAGGATATGAGGAAATCTGTGCCTTATCATATGTCACCGCATCAATGGTTCGCCATTTTTCTGTAAGATATTCCATAAAGCTGCTTAAACGTGTCTGAAGCCTGGTTTCTGCATGTATTCGTGGATTTTGAGCATTAGTTTGTACTTTGAAATATGACATCATATCTTTGGGACGCAATTCAATCGTTATCTTGTTTGGCAATTTTATTTCATCATATTTTTCGTCTAGTTGATTCAATTTCCTGAGGGCTTTGCAGAAAGGAGTTTTTATCCTGAATATCCGACCTGTAATTAAAAAATCATCGATGAAGGTAGTTTCAGGTTCGTTTCATTCCATAATCCAAAAATAAACTTTAATCAGGTGAAGGGTTTCATAGGATTAGTGAATTTTTAGAACACAAGTACAAATAATATAATTAATTATCAGTTACCTAATATTTGTGCATGTTTTAGCATGTTAAAGCTACTTTCTATCAATAAGGTTTTTGCTGTGTTGTTTTATTTGTTTATTTATTTATTTTTTCTTTGTAATGACCTGCCATATATGGGTATTTCTCAGCAAATTTCGAAATTCATGTCCTGAGCCATTCATGCTAAGTTGCATGGATTTATCATCAATTTAACATTTTTATCAATAAAATTTAGATAATTTATTGACACAAAAAAATATGATTAATTTATTAGTCTAAAAGCCATTCCCTCATCTCGTCCCTGGATCTGAAATTACTAATAAAAAATATATACAATCAAATCTGTTCATATTCTTATAAATTGAATATTACTAAAATATTTGGTAATAAGTATGGATTGTATAGTCAAGCTTTCATTGCTAAAAAATAAATATGTATATAAAAAAATCTATATAAACTATGTTCCTTGAAGTGAAATCGTTCCCTCACTCAATATAAATACTCGATTTGTGGTCACACCATTTGATATTTTTGAACGCAGCTGTTATGATTTTAAAACTTGGCAATACTGCTAATAATGTCAACATGGCGGAATTTCTTAATAGCGAAAAGAGTTGCTGCAAAAAAGTATTGGATTTCAATAATTAGAACATTATATTTCTCTGTGTCAGTACCTCACTGTTTATATTAAAATGTGAGTCATTATACTGTTCGAATGTTTTAATGATTTTTTTCTTGTTTTGGGGAGCAAAATGCATTCACAAAATGCTAAATCAATTTGAGGTGATGTACTGTTGGTTAGGGTATCGTTTATACAAATCCGTCATACGCTCACTATATTAAAAAGTGAGGCAATGAAAATCATATGAGGGAATGAATGTTGCATATATAAAATTGTGGTTTGGATGTTATTCTTTAACTCCAGGTTGTATAGCATGTGTTTTCAATTTTAACAGATATCCGTATATCAAGAATGCGGAAAATGAAGAAGTTAAGTGAAGAAGAAAAGAAATTAAAAAAGGAGTACTACAGAAAGAGGCGAGAATAAATGAAAATTACTGCCGAGGCTTTTGAAGCTTTGCGTGGAAAAGAAAGATTAAAGTATTTAAAGAAGAAGTTAAGTCAATAAGTCCTATGAGTGCAAGAGAAACTAGCCAAAAACGAAAACAATGGAAAAAGAATAGTAAGGTTTATAAGGAAAAGCGAGTTATATAACAAACAAATTTACAGAGAATAGTTGAAGACACACCCCCCCAAGTCCTGCATCATCTTTACAGTACAGAGCAGAGAATTTGTCTGCTCTCAATATACGTAGAATGAGCAAACGGCGAACTATTCTGTACGCGAAGATTAAACGTTTGGAAAATAAAGTAAGGAACGCAGTCAAGCTTAGCGAAAAATATAAGAAGAGGTGTTTGAGATCAAAAACTCTAAATACTGACCCACGCTCTCCAGCAACTAAAGTGTCTTCGCTTTTAAAGAATATAGTTACAAGTTCCTGACGTTGTAAGAAAAAGACTCATTTTCGGAGAAGCACTGCCAACAGACCTCAAGAATATCTATGAAGATTTTGGAAGTAAACATGGAGAAAAGAAAAAATATTACATGTTGAAGCTGCAATAAGTACAGAAGATACAAATTGCTATATAGATCGAAACATTTTTTCAAAAACGTAAAGTTAGCTCCAAAATGCTGAAAGTTAGGGCTGATGTTGTTCATTTCTTAGAGAACGATGAAAATACGAGGTTGTGCCCTTTATACTTTATACTAAAAAAAATCTCAATACATCTATTTTAACAAATTAACTTGTTTTTCATTGAAATTCAGCATCAAATTGTTGTAAAAATGATTCCCCCATCCTATCAGTCATTCCCTCATTTCAAAGTTTTTTAAAAGTCATTTTTCTACATGTTATACACAAAAATATGGAGGACCTTCATTTTCAATGAACCTCACTAAAGTAAAACTTTATATTTCTGCAAAAAAAAAGAGTATATTTTCATTATTTTTTCAAGAAATGCAAGATGAAATTTCTAAATTTGTTGAGAAATACCCGTATACTTATATCAACATGGCCAATAAATACTACTACTACTTCCACTAATTAAAAATGACGATATTCGAGGTGCCACTGCTGTAATAGTGTTCAAGCTACTCTGTCAAGTTAGCATATTGCCAATAAATAAATTAAATTCTTGCCTTTAAAGTGACTTGAAAAAAAGCCATAAAAAAGTCACGAACAAGAGTCATATTAGTCTAATCATATTACACGAAAATACTCCTGGTTTGCGAAATAATTGTAAAGTCTGGTTTTATTGATGCAAGTTGTTCAAGGAGATATTTAAAACATCGACACATAAAATGGGCACACCAATTTTTGTGGAAAAACTTTTTATTCGACAACAAAGAATGAGAAAACCCGTTTTTTGGGATTCAGTCGAAAGTGTTGACAGGAACGAAATAACTCTCCAAATAAGATTTTATTTTTTTATACCGAAACAGCCCCGCAGGCAGAAGTCTAAATGCCGGGACACTGCGGCTGTTATGATCATCCCAAAGAAATTTTGTTAATACGCTTTTTGAACCGCCTAAGGTTAGTAGAACCGGGAAAAGCATCCTCTTGTAGATTGTTCCACAATATCAACACCCTCGGGACAAAGGAGCGGTCGAATCGGCCAGTTCTGGTTGTACGAAGTTCGACACGGTTAGGATGGGACGCCAAAGTCAGGTGGGTCTGTTCGGCAGGCACATCGCGCGGCGGCATCATGGAAAAGAGCCCTGAGGAGCAAAGCCCGTTGGTGTAGCGGTAGAAAAGAGCTAGATCGCCGACGGCTCGCCGGTGGGTAAGGGTCCCGAGAAAGTCCGTTAGAAAAGAGTCATCGATCAGTCGGACCGCCCTCCTCTGGACAGCATCGAGCATAAATTATGTAGTTGGGGCGGCAGCACCTCAAACGTGTGAGCAATACTCGAGGCTAGGCCTTATCTGGGCCTTGTATAGAGTAAGAAGATCAGGCGGAGAAAAGTACTTATTAGCCCTATACAAATAGCCTAGCTTTTTTCCCAGCAGCTGCCGCTATTGACGAGATGTGTTCGTGCCAGATCAGGTGCTCGGTGATCTGGACTCCGACCAGCCGAAATGGCAGAGCTCGGCCGTCCATCGAAACCGGATGAGCGCTAGGGCGCTTTTTGTTCGTCCAAGTACAGTACTGTGCTTTGGAAGCACTAAACTGTACAAGATTGTTGCGACACCAAGCAGCGATAACCGCCAGGTCTCTTGTCACAGTGGAAGTCGTCGCTAGGCTTCTTTTTTCCAGCTCAGCGGTAGAGATCGGCTTGCTACTCTGAATTCCTGCATGTAGAGTGCTGTCATCAGCGAAGCTGTGGATTGGGTAGATCGTGCAGGAAAGGAGGTCGTTGATATGTAAGAGGAGCAGTATCGGAGCCAAGACCGATCCCTGGAGAACACCGGTGTTGACGTTGTGGGATGAAGAGGAGAACCCGTCAATTACGATGGATATGTTGCAGCCAGAGATAAAGTCAGCCACCCATCTGCAAAGCTTTTCTGGGAGACCATAGGATGGAAGTTTGCTTAAGAGGGCAGCGTGCCACAGCTGATCGAATGATTTCGTAATGTCAAGAGCAACGACATGAACCTCACCATAAGACTGGATGAGTTTACTCCACAATTGCGTGACGTAAGCTAGGAGGTCCCCTGTAGATCGTTGGTGCCGGAAACCAGATTTCGAAAACAGACGTATACTATATTAATACTATTAGAAAAAAGTCTAGGGAATTATATTTCTCCGTAAAGAAACTGGATTTCGTGTCCTACTTATATGACAAAGTCGTGCAGTCATCAATAATGCAACCATTTAGCACATGCTACGTACTAACAGTCTAAGACAATTTGAAACATAATTGTGTCGACAGTTTGCGTGTTAACTTTATAAACAGTTCAGCGCATTTCAGTATGGGATATTCGTTTTTATAAACTCTAAGGCTCATCTATAACCGTGTAAAAATTTCAGCTCTAAATATGTATACACAAGAGTTTGAGGAAATCTTGAAAAAAAATTATTTTCGTAACAAAAGGTGATAGACACATCCGCTTTGTTTTAAAATGTGTATAATAACGTATGTTTTTTGAATATCGTAGCGAATCTACTATAAAATGCTCTTTGAAAGAACTCTGTATGTTGCTCAGTAAACTAGTAGTGATGGCAGGAAGACATATTTTTTGGGATAAACAATTAGAAATTCTCAAAAACTACTTGAAAAATCGCCTTCAATATTGTTGTGGTTATTAAGAGGTATGAAGCCGACCGATTTGAAGAATTTCAAGTAGCTGCTTGAAATTATCGTCGCATTGCATTTTGCCTCGGTTTTCGGCCATAACTTTTTTACTATTAGTCGGATCTTTTTACAAGTGGTCTCATTTTGTAGGCCCCAGAAATACATACAAATCTTATTAGAAGAGATTTTTGTTCGTGCCAACACTTTCAATTGAATCCCAAAAAACAGGTATTCTCATTCCTTGTTGTCAAATAAAAAGTTTTCCCACAAAAATTGGTGTACCCATTTTATGCGTACATGTTTTAAATACCCCCTTGAACAACTTGCATCAATAATACTGCACTTTACAATTATCTCGGGGAAACTTGCTAATATGATTAGACTATATGGAAAATTTTATGAAAATAAGACTTCCTAGATTACGTATTTTCATTTATTCATAATATCGAAAATGTTGAATTTTCTGTATGTAATATATGTATATATAAATAGTGATATATATAGAATATCTAAGATATTTCCACCATGGTCATAATTTTTAAAACAAATTTTCTCTAGTCTGGGGCAAAGGAATTTGGAGCTCCGTTTTGGGGGCGCTCCAGCTCTAGGCCAAACTCATGTTGAGTTAGCATCCTAAAATTCGGCACCTCCGATTTTTCGGTAAGTTTTGAGCTCTAATGGGACAGTTCTCAATAGGATACAACTTTTTTTCCCCGTAGGATAGTTCTGATGACCGTGCATGAGTTGGAATGTGACTGAATAAAGTCCATCAGAACAACTGTTCTGGAAAAGAAGGTGATCACTATCGAGTTAACACCCCATTTCTGTTTTTTTGTTATTTGGATTATCAACTTACGCTATGGAACTGTTCCTGCACTGCAAGGGCGCGCCCAGCTCAAAACGGAAGGGGGGCATCTTCAAAAATTTTTTGGTGGAAGTTCCACAAATCATATTTACATAACTATGCTTGATAATTTTCTTTATATTTGCATTTCATTTAACGATTTGACAATTCATATGGATATGGAGAACTACTAGGATTACTTTTTTGAAACATCCAGGTAAATATTGCGCGATATGCTTTTTTAAGAAATAATTTAGTCATCTGCAATACTTGATATAATAAATGACAAATGTTTGCTAAACTACAAAGCTTATATATCTACTTTCTGGGCGTATATATCACTCAAAATTGAAACAGGATGCTTATTTTTCAAGTCAATCGGTCAGGGAAGTTCTGTAATTGAGGAAAAACTTAGTAGGTACATTTTTTGTTTCATTCCTCAGGTAATCTTTGACCCTCTATTACAGATAGAAAAATATTTATAGTTTTTGTTAATCGATCCTGTTGCGAGAGAGGATAGAGCAGTCGTAAAAACAACGAATTAATGATCGGCCTTTCTATAACTTGGAAAATATAACTGGATTTTAAAGAAATTTTGAAAGAGCTGCCCCCAAACTTGACTGACGAGATGTGCAATTCGAAAGTATGTGGAGTCGGGAAACTGCTTGTGTAATATGTTATCTAGAAATGCTACAAAACCTATTTGATCAGGCTAACTATCTAAATGAGAACCCTGTTGTGAAGGAAATTATACAGAGGGATTTATATATTCATTAGCAAAGGCCCCTCATCTCGAAATAAAAAATTCTGGGTTACTTTTTTTTATCAAACTTCAAAGTTATAAGTGCACAGAAGAATTGGAAAAGGGATGAAAACACCTTCAAAATGGGTATGTCAAGTTCACTGCAACAGTTAATTGGTTATTGCAAAAAATCGTTCATTTGTTTGCTGAAAAGTGCTTAAAAGTAAATATAATATAGTAACAAAAAGTTCAAGCCTTTGTAGTGATTAACATTGAAAAAAATGTTCAAAAATGCTCAAATTAGACATATATGGTGAGTTTTTAATATCTAATTGGTTAATATCTCCATTACTATAAAACATAAAAATATGATTTACAAATCTATGTTTCCTTCTTGGAATATACCACTCCCTACAGGGTGATTCATACCAACATTCCAATAAAATTTTTTTTTTTCAAATGGGTCACCATACATCTTTGAGTCTATTCTAATATATTCAAAGGGAGAAGATTTGATATAGCCGGGTATACAGGTATAGCTATTATGCTAACTCCCGAAATAATTTCTATAGCCAAAAACAGTTTCAAAGAATATGTAGAAAGATATGTATCTAGTTTGTAGTAGAACGATTTGAAAAATAAATATTTTTACCATTGTAATCTTAGAAACTGTAAGAGATATGGGTCAGTTGGATGGTGGCAAAATTGGATATTTATATACTTTAGAAAATGCATTTAAAAGGTTTCGACACTTCCAGTAAATTTTATAGTTTCTGTTTTTTCTGAATTTATTTGTGGAGAGCCCTGCACATGAGTAATTTCATTTTTGAAAAAATGTTTAATCTATTTAGTTTTTGCCAAGCTGGGGGAAAAGGGCCGCAGCTGCCCCACCTTGCCCCCCCTGGGTATCCCCATGCTGCACTTCGCTGAGAATTTTAGAGTTGTTCCATTAGAACCCATAACTCAGAAAAATTGGGGATGCTGCATCTTATTTTGGGTATTAACTTGGAAGGACTTGAGACTAATAAGAAAGTGATTTAATATACATGTGTGTGATTTATATTGCTCCTTTACGAGTCTATGCTCTAAACAGATAGTCTCTAGCTTGAACACTTTTTTATATCCAAATAACATGTAATCTTAGCACCGCTCCAATTGAATGGTAATGAAAATGTACAGTTTTGGATTTTCAGGTTCTATGAAGGACATCAAATAAGTTTGTTATAGAGCATCTAAATGAGCAACATGCATGACCTGGCTATATATCTCATATAATATTAGCTATATCTCGTCTATAGCTTGGCAATATTGTCTGGAGTGTGTAGACATATACCTGATGAGAATTTTTCATCAGGACCATAAAATCAGACAAATATAACTGACCATATTGTATGCATTTCAGCAGCTTATATTATATTACATTAAGTGGGACTCTAGTAATTTGATAATCTGACAGCACTACATGAAAATAGGTCAGAAATATCAAAAAGTATAGCTGAGCTGGAAAAATATATCCAATTTAGAAACACTGTTAGGTCTATATAAAGTGAAATACATTTTTTTTGTAATTTACAACCATCATACTCGGTAAACAACAAATCAAAATGGTGTTTTCAACTTTATTTCATCAAACTGAATTGGTTCCCTGTTTCTAACCTTCCACAAGTGTAAAAAATCTCAAAGATTGCCTCATCATTGGGATGCTAAGGCAATCCATGGTCAAACTACCTTATTGAAATATTTGGTAGCTCCCTGATATGACAACAGATGCACACATTCTGGGTGTCATATATTTTAATAGAGTTGCTGGTAAGTATGAGGAATCCTGAGAATACGATAATATTTGCATTTTTTATGTATATTTAGAAGTGTCTATTATTTAATAAGGGCTTATTATATATTTAAAATAGAAACTGTTGCAGTTGAAGCACTATTTTCACATAAAAGAAATAAAACATTATTGTTTTCTAAATAATGCAAAATAAATTTTGACTGAAAAAAAGGAAAATGTTACATTTACCTTTACTCCTTATTGAAAGTGATCCTTTATACACAAGCTCCTGTAATTTCAGCAAATTTTTCTGATTTACCGGTCCTATTCTCTTCCTTAACTCTCCATAATTGATCAATCCATAAAGTTCTTGGACATTTTTCTTCAAGCTATCAGAAAACTTGAGATGCTTTGAAATCTTATGCCATGTTCGGTTATACCAGTGCCTAATTTGATCCTTTGTTTTGATAAGATTATCAGGGACACCTTTCTTTCTTAATTTGTGCGCCATGTAGGTATGTATAGACTCAAAGTCCTTTCCAAACTCATTTAGAGCTTCAAAAAAGATTGCTTTGTCATCCGATGTCCACAATGGTCTAGAGAACTTTTTAACATCAGGTTTGCTGTTAGTATCTTCCTTTTTATCAGTTTTTTCTGGAACTACTGGTGTAGTAGAATCTAGCTTCATTTTTTTGGAGACGCGGGCACTAGATCTGAGTTGCTGCCCTTTGACTTCATTTCTATCTACAGTGCTAAATGTAGTCACTGATCCAAGCAAAGGCTCTTCATTCATTTGGGAAAGATCTATGTTTATCACAGGTTTTTCTGTTTTCTCTTCTTTTTCGGGCGATGTTACGTCTGCCGTATCCATTTTATCCTGTTTATCCATTATATAGCTCAACTTATGTCACAATATAATAGGAACTTGGGAATTTTCACCATTAAAAATGGATGTTCGGCAATGTCCACTTATCTAGATCACCTATATTGTGAAGACTGAACTAGGATATTTTCAGTGTGACAATTTGTTCGAGTAGGCGAATCTCTTATAAAAACGTTGGTGCGATGAGACTATATAAAAGTTGGAAGATTTTCTCTGTTCATCATAAGTGTATTTAATTAAATTTATAACTAACTTCAGCAACACGAAAATTTGTGTTGTTTAGGTCTGCTATTTGCTTTATTATGACATTTGAAAACAGCTGTGTTCTCATTGACGCTGATTTGCAGACACGCAGCCATTTTTCAATCACATTGCATTGTCTAACAAATAATCTAGTAGAAATACAGCCACGTGATCATTTTTGATTGGATTACAAAAAGTCCCTGGCATTTAGTTTACAACGAGTTGCATCGGAACAAACTTTTTACCTTGCATAAGAAAATGCTACCAGCTGAGCACAGCTGCACAACTGGTTGCCTGCCAAATCGATCCAACCGATTTGAATTGAAGTATACAAGTTTGGTCCGGTTTTACTATTGACCGGCGGCAATGGAAAATTGTGTCTATGGCACAAATTTCACCAATGACCAATGGGGCGTTTTTGAAGTAATGGATCTATCTATCTATCTTTGATGTCTCTCCAACTAGTAAAAAATGATTCAATTTGTTCAAGATGGGCCCAAATTTCCATATCAAATGAAAAATACTACTTAAATCACCTGGTTCAGCGACATAAACCTATGTTTTTAACTTGAGCCCGGACACAAACTTTGCAACTACGTCATAACCTCCACCAATCAAAAAACAATGTGACACAATATTTAGATTGATTCTTCTATTCGCCATTGTCTGTCAGAGCGGTCCGTAGGACCTTTGTTTCTGGTTAAAGTCTTATCAGGTCTGGTTGCCCAGATACCAGACAAAGTGGGGGACAGGGGAACAGAGAAGGGAAGAAGAAAGAAAGGAAGGAAGGAAGGAGGGAGAGCAAGGAAAAAAGAACTGCGTCAATATGATTTGGTTGGACCTAAAGTTACACGATATAGTTTTGTTCACAGTGCGAGTAGCAGCCTTTTGTGCTAGCGAACTTGCTCGACTCTGTAGTCTCCTGAGTCGTCCAACAAAATGTTGCTATGCGATTCCACATTTAGATTGATATAAGAGCAATTACCCAGCAAGTGTCACTACTTAACTGACGCCCCTGAGGCAGATCATTAAAAAAAGATGTATTTTTGAGAACCAATCAACATATCCATTGAGGTTGTCTACGAAAACTTATTTTTTGTCTCTTTTTTCTATAGGTTTGCAACAGCTCAGTTAATCTAAACCATTGTAGGGTGCTTGTATTCTTTAAAAAAACATCGAGTAAATTGGATTTTAAGATAGATGCCAACCCACAGGCCCAGATAAGACCTTTTTTGTACTGGTCACAAGTTTGGGGTGCTGCCGCCCTGACAACATTATCCATGTTCGATGCTGTTCAAAGGAGGGCTGTCCAAGTGATCGATGACTCTTCTTTAATGGACTGTCTCGTGACCCTTTCACACCTGCGGGCCGTCGGCGATCAAGCTTTCTTCTACCGCTGCGCCAATAAGCTTTGCTCCTCAGAGTTCTCATCAATGGTGTTACCCAGCGATGTGTCTGCCAGATAGACCGGCCTGACTTCAGCCTCCCATCTTAATCGTGTCGAATTTCGTACATTCAGAATTGGCCGATACAATCGCTCCTTTGTTCCAAAAGGGCACAGATATTGTGGAAAAATCTACAATTCTACTCACCTTAGGCAATGAGTAAAAATGAGCACACTCATCTCTTCACCATGTTTTTCTAATAAAAATTTTCGTTTTTCGACCTTTGAATAAAAAACGAGAAATGATTTTTCAGGGTCATTTGAGGTTAGACCAGAAATTTCTGACGGGGATCCCACGAATTTATTATTATTATTTAGAGCCTAAAGACTTCTCTATTATCCTCCTACCTACAACTTTCTCCACCTGACTAATATGGAAAATTGAAAACAAGAAGTTAAGATACCCTGCATTTCTCATACCTTTCATCGTTTTTCCATCCTAACTTCGATTGTCCAACAGACATTTTCCCCTTTGGTTAATGAGAATAATTGAAAATAACAAATCAAGGTCACACATCAATAAATCCAAACTTCTCGGAACATATCCAGAATACGTGGAAATCATTGCAAATTGTTTTTCCATTCTATCAATTCGATTTTCCAACAAAAGTTTCCCTGTTTTCACCTTTGATTAACGAAAAAAGTCAACAATACAAATCAAGATCATAGGTATCGTTTTTCTATCTTATCACTTCGATTTTCCACCAAAAGTTTTCATTTTGCAGCTATTGGTTAATAAGTAAAATTAAAAATAAGAAGTCAGGATTACATATGTACACTCATCCTTTTGTATACCTGTCTAGGCTATGTGGAAATGATTACAAATCGTTTTACCAGCCTATCAATTCGATTTTCCAGCAGGACTTTTCCTTTTTCCACCTTTGGCTAATCAGAAAAAATGAACGTAACAAATCAAGGTCACATGTAGATAACCTGAGGTAATTCAACCTGCTCTAAACTTGTCCAGGCTACGTGGAAATTATCCTACCAATCATTTTTCATTCATATGGCCCCGTTATTACAACAAAAGTTTTACATTTCCCACCTATGGTCAATACACAAATAATATCATATGTTGTGAAGTCGCGACTATACTATGTAGCCCGAACTTATTTAAATGTTTATGTAGTTTTCCAGGGTTCGCGGTAATCGTTTCGAGTTGTTTCCATCCTAACTTCTTGGTTTTCAAACAAAACCTTCTGTTTTTCTACCTTCGATTAATGGCAAAATTCAAAAATAGTCAGTCAGGTTTACATGTATCTAGCTTCCATGAGCTAAAATTTAATTGTATTTTTTTTTATTTAAATTAAAGTGTTCCGGATCACGTGGAGATTTTAATAAACCGTTTTTCCATCATATTCCTGGAGTTTCTACCAAAAATAATCGTTTTTCCACATAGGATCAATCAGTGAATGAGTAGGTCGTTGCATCACCTTGTTTTTCCACCAAACATGTTCGTTTTTCCACTCCACGAGAAAAAAAGAAAATAAGAAGTTAGGGGTCACATGTCATATTTTGAACTTCTGTGTCTGTCTGCATTTTGCATTTGTGCACACGTTGTGGCCTGCTCATCCGATCTTTGATAATCTTCAAAGATCAGTATTGTGACTGACTCTTACAAACTTGGACAACAAAAAAACTTACGCTTACTGTCTTCCTCGAGTTTTTGTCAAATGAGAACTTGTGATTTTACTGGAAGAGCTGTTCTTATCGGTTCATAGACCAAGTATATTTATACTCCACCAGCTGATCTGACTGGTTTGTATTTTTTGTTGATGGTGATTATTACAAACGTAGATTAAGTTATGGTCGAAACGCCAGGGAATATGACGGAAAAACGGTTCATGAAAATCTCCACGTGATCCGGAAAATTTAAATTTAAATGAATAAAATTTAAGATAAATAAAATAAATTTAAATTTAAGCTCATGCAGGCTAGGTACATGCAAACCTGACTTAACTGACAAAGGCAGAAAAACGATGGAAACACAACTCAAAATTATTTTTCACGTATCCTGGAAAACTCTACAAAGAATTCAAACCAGTGTGGCCTTCGCACTTACAATCTCAAGTTTATGTAATTTTTTTATTCACCCAACGTAGAAAAGCGAAAAATTTTGTTGGGAAGCCAAGGTGATAGGGTGGAGATACAACACGGAACGATTTACGCGTAGAAAACTACACAAACAATTAAATAAGTTTGGGCTACATACAATCGCGTTTTTTCAACATATGATATTATTTGTGTATTAACCATTGGTGGGAAAACAAAAAGTTTTATTGTAAAAACGGGGCAATATAACGGAAAAATGATTCGTGATGATTTCCACGTAGCCTGGACAAGTTTAGAAGAGGTTGAATTACCTCAGGCTCTCTACGTGTGACGTCTATTTGTTACTTTTGGTTTTTCTCAGTAGAACGATAAAAATTTCTGTTGGAAAATCGGAGTGATAGGATGGAAAAACGAATTGTGATGATTTTCACGTAGCCTGGACAAGCTTAGAGAAGTTTGAGTTAATTTGAGCTATCTACCTATGATCTTGATTTGTTATTTTCAATCTTAATCATTAATCAGAGGTGAACACACGGAAACTTTTGGTGGAAAATCTAAATGATATGATAGAAAAACGATTTGTGATGATTTCCATGTAGCCTGGACAGCTATGCAAAAGTATGAGTAAATACAGGCTATCTACGTGTGACTTTAACTTCAGGTGGAAAAAGTTGTTTTGTGGTGAAACAGAGTTGGTAGTAGGATAATAAAAAAGTATTCGGCTGTAAAAACGAATTCCTAGATGTTCCCGTCAGAAACTTTTAGGCTAACCTCAAATGACCCTGAAAAACTATTTCTCATTTTTTTGTTATTCAGTGGTGGAGAAACAAAAACATTGTGTGCTCATTTTTTTAAATCTGACTGATTTTTCTCGTAACCTAAATGCGGAAAAATGAAAATTGTTGGTGGAATAACGTGGTACAATAATGAAGAAACGATGTATAGTGATCGTTTTAAATAAGGTTTGTTCGTACAGTGGTGTCGGTGACTGTCTGGGATTCGACCGTGTGAATTCCATCTATATAGTGTAGCAGAATGAAATTTGTGTGGCCGGATCTTGACATGTTAGCGACAGCTGTACGAGCAGAATTTTTATTTCCAATTTCTTCTAAGCCATCAATGGTGGGAAAACGGCAATTGTTGGTGAAAAAACGGGGTAAAACGATGGAGAATCGTGTGGCACATCGTTTCTTAACAGCGCAGATTTCTCTGAGCTAACTTCACAGACCTTGGCATTTAGACTTCTGCCTGTGCGGGTGCTTCAGTGTAACAAAATATACGTATACAACTCCGACGTACACGATTGTGTCAGTGGCAAAGGTAGTATGTTTTTGTAGGTTGAACCTACTACAAAAAAAGGAGGTGAAGAGATTGTGATCAGCCTACTATTGTAGGGCGCGTTTATGGCCTCCTTGATTGTCATACTTCTTTCTCTCCTTCAAAAATTTCTAGATTACACTTGTCCCGTGTCAGCGTCAGCACTCTCTTATTGTGAAGATATGTTTTCTTTTTAAATTGTAGGGAATTTCAGGCTGATAAAACATGATATAACTCAAAAGCAAGCACAATTTGATGCAAATAGATGTTTGTGACATAACCTCAAAATAGAGTTCTGACACGGAGAAGTAGAAAACTATGACAATCAAGGAGGCCATAAAGGCGCCCTACAATTGTAGGGACGACTGACGATACGGGCCTAAGAATCTTCTTCTGCGATTTGAATGAATTTACTGCCCAATTGTTTTCTCTAATGCCTTCGCAACTGTCAGATTTAACAGTGTCTCTCAATGAAAATATCTTGGAACTGCTCTAAATAGAAAATTGAATTATGAGTTCCATATCACTTATATATGTCAAAAAGCTAGAAAATAGGGCATGTTGATTGACTAAGTTGGCGGTAATTTATCTTCTTCTCAGAAATCTTCAAAGCGTATCAATGTTAACGCAATTTTGCTGTATGGGTCCACCGATCTCCTATCTACCCAATAAAGACCTTCTCTGCAAGCAGTCTACTTACGAGCAATTCTTAGTACGTGCACTATATAGTGCTCATATTAAGTCTTCATGTGTGGTGGCTCAAAAGCCACTTATTTGGTTATTACCTTTACTACATTCGAATCAAAGATGTTGAAAATTTTACAAAAAAATGCGAATTTTGTCAAAAAACAAAATTTCTCAGTGCCTCATTGGTCGTCACGGAAACTTCTGAAGCCCCACTCAAACGTATATTAATATCGATATTTTAGAATGAGAGATGAACTTAAACAACATTCCTAAGCTTACCCCATAGCAACATGGGTGGTTGTTCTGGACTAATTCTATGAGCTTGATCGACCAACCCGATACATTTAATTTTTTTGTAATACTTGGTTGTAGCTAACTTTTTTCTCAATTGGGTTAACGTGTGCCCTTTATTTACTGTTGACAGCGTTGTGTAGGAATTGCAGAGCCGACCTACTTGACGCCATCGTGTTGGCTTTAGAGGTAATTACATAATTTTGGAAAATAACAGTAAGCAATGATTTTTTGCAGTATATGGCGGAATAACTGAACCACTTTTAACGAATCATTCATCTTATTTTTTGTTTTTCATTCAGAATGCCTTTGTCCTATATGCATTGATTCAATTCTATGTATAGGGTACGTTGTTCTATCGGAATAGAGATACGATAGGTATGAATCTTATACATTTTTTAGATGTGGATTAGTTTGAACTCAGAATATTCGGTGACCTCTTTTGTAGTTATTACGACAATGATCTTGTTCGTAATGCACCATGCATTGCAATAATTTTTGTCAACCGTGGTAAAAAATTCGCGATTAATCAAAAAACTAATAAGATCACATAACATCTGTACCAGTAATGAATAATGTGAACTGCGAAATACCAATGTGAATGCGTAACAATTCGTGAGTTTTTGGGTCTACCATTTCCTGGATCTGTTCATATATAAATCGATTGCAAAGATAAAATTGGTACAGTCTAGTCCAAAGTGTTCTGTAGTGTAGTAAGAAGCAATCTGTAATTATGAGGGTGGTAAGTTTCTGACAGAAGTAGATTAACAGAATATAAATATCTATACCCAGAGGATAGAAAATTACAAAGATTGCACAGATTATTCGTAACAGACACAACTTTTTCCTGGAAGTTTGAATTGGTAGTGCCGCGGTAATAAGGCTTAATCCTGCCTAGTTTTTCCAAAACAATGCCTTTTAGGTTACACATCTATCATGATAATACAGCGGATGAAAAATAACTGTAGCAATTCCTACACATCGACTTGCGCATATCTTTATATTTCTAGATAGAGCTTCTCGAGTTGTTAGGGTTAGGAAGTATAAAATTCTGTACCTCACAAATTATCTGGAATTTGGAAATTTAGATCTGTACAGTAGGACCGTGAGCAAAAATGTACAAGCAAGCTTTGAAGATCCAGGTTCTAAGGCGTGAAATATGTGAATCTTATACATACATATATGCTCGTGAAATTTCTTATTTTCACGCTTGTCTAAAACGTACAGTCGACTAAAAAGACAAGGATCATTCAGATCATTCATATAAATTTTTCATATCAAAATGTGGGTTGAAATTGTTTTTCTATTTATTTGTATCTTTATAGGTATTCTGTATAGTAGTATCGCTAGTAGCACCCATGTTAGCTTATCCAGCTGGCGGTAAAGATGGAGGAGTTATCCTGACAGGCCCTTCAGGGGTTGTTACAAGTACTGGGGCTATTGGACCTTCAGCTTTGGGTAAGAAGTACTGAACTACATAAGTCATGATTATTTTTATTCTGAATGAATGGCGGATCAAATCATAAGAATTATATAGATGAATCTGATGTTTGTACCTTGGGATTACCAGATATTTTCATTTATGTTTGGCTTCTTTGAAATCTGCAAGACAGACCAAATTCATCGTATTTAGTGAACCGTGTCTTCGCTTTTAACTTGTATAAGATTGATTTATATATGTTACCGGTGATCTGTACAATTCAGGTTTTCTATATATATCATATATAGAATACCTGGGTTTCCCAGGCAATGTATGGAATATTATGAATATTATTATCCATTACATTCTTTACCTATGTAATGAATACAATTCCTAGGGATTGTATGGAGTACCTGCTGTACCACCGGCAATGTGTAAAATAAATAGATATTTGTCTAAATTTATCAGTGTTAACCGGCATACCTATAAAATGACAGACAAATGAAACAAGTAAAAATTATTTGAAATCTACTTTATTAAAATTAATGATTAGAGTGCTACCTAGAAATAAGCTTTATGAAAATGGTACAAAAAAGCACCTTCCTGTTACTACAGCAAAATCACAGTAAAATTAACTAAAAATTATTCTGGATATATGTAAGATGATGTAATTTTCTTTGTTTACAAGTACGCAAAACGTTTATTGCCACGTACAAACCGTTCCTTGCTCTCGACTTTTGCACACATATCCGGCTGCGCATTCGGTATTGTATAGAATACCTAGACAAAGTATAAAACAAATAATATTTCATACATTATCTACACGTCTTAGGTATTCTATACATTACCTAGGTATTGTATACAATACCGGATTATGCAGAATGCCGGTAACATATATAAATTTCTAAATAGGTTGATAGGTCAAACTTTACCCATATACTAATAATGCACAAAATACGTAACAATCCAAAAACCAATCACTAGACCACAAAATACAGGTGATTAAATCCTGTGGTGTGTTATATTGGTCTCCCAAAGCTTGAATTGTAATTTTGCACGGACATGCATGAGTTGGCAAATAATCTTTAACTCTGGAAAAATACCGACACCAACATGATACGTTCAAAAGGCAAAACGCTCGTTAAAAATATTCACCCAGTTAAATGTAGGATTTAGGCTGTAATTGCTCTTGATGATACAAAAGTTCCACTTACAGTTTTGTCAAGAGCTCACGTGTATTGGATATAGATAGTCAATTTAGTAGCATTTTACAGCCAATTTATGAAAAAACTTTTGGTTTTCGAATATTTGGGGCGGCAAAGTTTTAATTAATAGACAAACATTGAGAGCGCTCTCAGACTTTTGTTTGCTTTTCGAGCTTCAATAATCATTTCTTAAATCCAAACCTTGTTTTTACGTTTGTTACTTCCCACACCTTCTGGCGGGAAATCATTGTAATCGAGAAAATTTTCGAAAATGTGATAATACTTCTTTTGATGTTATATGACATGTACATCACGAAAAACCATGTCACTTATTCCCGTTGGTCTGCCTGTCTGTCTGTTAGTCTGTGTGGTAATCTTATAACCACCTATAACAAGAGAAGTACCGCTCGGATTTCGATGAAATTTTCACACACGGTGTTACTACATCAGGGACGCAAACGTCTTGCCGTTTTTGAAATTCGACCCACTGGTGGCGGAACTAGGAGCGAAAACACGAAAAAAAATAAAAAGCGCTCAACTTCGTTTTTTGATGTTTTAGAGGTTCCTGGTCATTTTCAGGAAAAAATGTGTAGGGTTTGAAAATCGGAAGTTGGGGACAGTAGGGAGTGGAGGAGGGTATACATCATTTTCCATATCAGTACATACTTCACACATCATACACTTTCCCCTACGTTCGCCCTTAAAACTTAGAAATATTTGTAGCCTAGATGGGCGGTCGCAGCCAACCGCGACGGAATCTTCAGTCGCTGATTGACTCTGACTCTGACTGCATCGCCGTTTCTCTCCAGTTACTATACTGATGTGGTTCAGCACCGCTGCTCTACTTAGAACAGGGTAGAAACTTGCGTAAGGGTTATCAAATGGGTGGGACTATGGAGTATGGACTAACTGACTGGATCTCAAGAAAATTAAGGAAGCAAGAAAAAAAAACACAAATTTTTCCGTGATTTTCGAGAGGCTGTATTTCGGTGAAAAATGGTCGTACCTAAACTAAATTTTTTTTCATAATTTTTGCTTTCTTCTTTTTGGTCCAGGGGATTGAAACACTTTTGTCTGTTAGGCCATCATAGAGATCGGATAGCCCGTTTGTTCAACTTCTTCTTCAAATCTCGATACGATCATTTGACGCGGATATATCTGACTTCGAATGAAAAGGGATCCTTTTGTCATCGACCACTGATATCTCGGTAACCAGTGATTGCGCAGAGAATGTAAGGAATGTAAGGGTATTTCTGAAAATTGGAATAAATCTTACATTTTTCCAATTGCATTTTTAAAAATCGAAGATGTTACAGATATCCAATTGTGACAACTAAGGAAGAAATATGATTTTCCCATTGTTAATCAGATTACATGATGTTTTGAAAAAAAGTTTTGCTCCTTTGATTTCTTTCAAATTTTGAACAAATCGTGCGGAGAAACCGTACAATGGATCGATCTGCCGTTGTGCAGGGTTGTTAGGGGTTTATTGAGGTATCAAAAAACCTAAAAACTTCTCTTTAGCGGTTCCAAAAATGCTTTAGATTTTCCAAAACAAGGCTAAAATTAACTTTTTTGACTTTTTTAAAATACAATACCAAGCAAATAAAAAAAAATCCTCAAAGATTGTCGGGGTTTTACAATCTCTGTGCGATCACTAGTTACCGAGATAGCAGTGGTCGATAACAAAGGAATCCTTGATCATTTAAAATCGGATATCTCCACGCCAAATGATTGTATCGAGATTTTAAAAACAGGATATTGAAGCTGAATAACGGGCTATCCGATTCATATGATTGTCTAACAGCAAAAAAAGCTGGCAGACTAAAAAGAAGAAGGCAAACATTTTGCAACAAAATTTTCTGGCGCTATCTGTTAGAATTGCATAAGAACCATTGCTTCTAAAAATGTTCGACCAAAGAATCAAAAAACTATAATCTTAAAGCTTTAAAATGCTTTGTTTAAAGTTTAGTAATGACCATTTTCTACCGAAATACAACCTGTCAGAAATTACTGAAAAACTTTTTTGACTAGTGCACATGTTTGTAGCCAGTTTAGAGGGACTGATGGTAATGATGCTTGGGAGGTGCAGAGTCAATCTACTTGACACCATCTTTTAGCTTTGTCATCTCTTTTGGACGTAGTCGAAAAATGTATGGGATCTGAGAAATTTTGAAATCAAGTTATCTAGTTGTAGATATCACTACTGACTCTTGGAATGTTTGTACATCAAACATTTTGAAAAAAACACCATGTCTGTAATCTGAAAAAAGATACTGTTGCATGGAACGTTCTGAGTCAATCAACTTGAATCCTTCCATTGTATGATAAGTGACCCTAAAATGAATTTATATATGAATATGAAGTATCGAGCCAATCTTGAATCCATTTTTTAAACCATACGGTTCTTAGTGCAACTATATTTTTAGGACTCGGTGCATATGGCTATGGCCACGGCGGTGGAGATGTTGGCATAGTGTATCTAGCAGGCCCAATAGCTGATGGCAGCTATGCTGGAGGAACTGCATTATTGGCAGGTCCTGTTACGGGACCATCTCACCTGGCAGGACCTGTCCAAGGACCAAGTCATATCGCCGGACCGGTTCAAGGACCCAGTTACATAGGAGGACCTGTAGTAGGTCCCAGTTATCTAGCTGGAGGAGTGCAAGGACCTTCGTATTTGGCTGGACCTGTACAGGGACCTGCACATCTCGCTGGACCAGTGCATGGACCGGCTCATATTGCAGGTTAGCTTTCGAAACGTTACATTGTAATGCAAGACTTATATGGCGAAGTTTATCATGCTGCTTCTCTTACACTTAACCATATAGTCTATAGCAGATATTCACAACAATACACTATTCACAAACAGATTTATTTAGTTTCATGGAAAGTAAAAAATAAAAAAAGAAAAAGGCATACTTTCCAAACCCAAGTACAACAAAAATTATTAACCTGACTAAAACAAGGGATGGAAAACGATAAGCTTGATTACGTAAATTGTATGTTCGCATGTTTCAGTAATATTGTTTTAACTATTTGTCGAAAGACAGGTAACGAAAATTGTATATAATACTTTGGGAGGGGCATTATAAATAATTGCAACAATGTAGGAGAAACTGTGTTCAAAATGTGTAGACGTATTCTAATATTCTTTTCAATGAGAATTCTACATCATTATTAATTGAAATTTATTGCCGCAATTGGACGTGAGTAGTAATTTGTGAACAAAAACTGAATAGTGATACTTGACCAAGTCATTAATTTTTAAGCAGTGTAGAACGGGATATTTCGCTGATACGTGAACAAACACGTAAGCCAAAAATAAAACGTATACAATTGTTTTTAATAACTTGAATAACTTTATTGGTGAAATTGTCTAACCTTGTGTAGTATACCATATTACAATAGTTTAGAATAGATATAACCAATGCTTCAACCAGTTCTTCACGCAACTTAAAATCTAGTAAATACCTGTCTGCTATAAGGGTACGTAGTCTTAAATAGGTTTTCTGTGAAAGACTTTCAACATGCTCAATTAGCCTTAATTTTATATCCAAAACAACACCATGGATTTCTGCATAATCAGAAAATTGCAAGATTTGGTTATTTAAGGAAGGGTGGAACATGTAAAATTGGGACAGTAACCCACCAATTACAGAAACTCTTTGTAGATTGTCAAATATTCTAAGACATGCACAGTGTGAAAATTGGAATTTTTGATCAAGGAGATAACTTTTTCATCAAAACATTTGCAGACATAGGAAACCGATGTTGCTTTAAGATAATATTACAATGCATGGTAACAAAATGTACAGAGATTTTTTAGATATTAATTGATAAATGTCCGTATTTCTCTACATCACCACATCTTATAATATACTGTAAATGTAAATCTTAGATTTACATCTTGTAGTAGGTTAAAATTCCTTCAATACGTTGGTGTTAAACAGTTATTTTGGTTATTAGTTACTTGGATAATTGCTAAAAGTGGATAAAATGACTTTTTGATACTCAAGATCAGATAGAAAGGATCAGGGTCTGGTCTATGAACAGGGGTAATAGGCCTTGAAAATAATTCAAATTCCAAGTTAATCGCATTTATGAGATATTTGCATTTAACCATTTCAAAACAGATTTTACACTTTCATCAACATTTTGCTCTCAATCTTAGTACTTAATTGTTCAAAGTTCACAATTTTGCCTTTTTTTGTCCAAAACACCCATTTTCGAATATTTAACGTATGATTTTTTATGAGCGCATACTCACAACACTTTTTATTTCCATCAATCACAGAGATCCAAAACGTACATATACGTGTTCCGGGCTTAAATGGACGGAGTAGTAGGTAGGTAATATGCGCCGAGATCTCATCATATCGGCAACTAAAAACGTTCATCTATAATATACCAGTCACTACAGAACCGATTTTGATGCAATTTTGTACAACAATAAAGCTATCTGGGAGCAACGTAAATCTAGTCGAACAGTTAAATATCCAGAACCGGGCTCGTTTTTCTTTACTTCTTTGTATTTCATCAAATGCAACACATTTTAAGCTAAATATTGATATAATTAACTATGCACAAAAAAAAACAATGGATGGTAATCACTAATTAGCAAAATCTATTTATTATGCCTTTTTTGGTTTTTTAATCAAAAACTTTTATTGAGTAAATAAAAATGTTTGACAAAAAAACTAAACTAGTGGCAATCAATCTATAATGTTAATTAATGAGCACCATTCCTTGGCCTTTTTGCGTATAGAAAAACATTTCAATACTCGCCTCAATATTTGTTGATTTTGATAAAATACCAAAAAGTTAATAAAATCGGGTCTGATCCTGGATTTTCTAACCACCCGACTAGATTGCTCCTAGGTAACATTGTTATTGTGCAAAATTTCATCAAAATCAGTTCAATAGTGCATGAGATATGTGATATTAAATATTTGGCATGTTTAGATATTTCCGTAAAAAATGGATTTAGAATTTTTTCATTTTCGGATATGAAAACGTCGCGGTCAGTACTCTACCCAACGAATCCGAATAGATTAGGAGCCAACAAGCCTATATGTTTTCATTCCATTGTTTGTTGACAAAATTGCCTGTCAAAGTGACAACAAATTATGTATGTATAAAGTAGCACGTCTTGAAATCGAGTAACAGCACAATTATCTTGCAAACATTCGCACTTTTGAAAAATAATACTATAATACGAATTTAATGACAATGTAAAAGAACTGACCTATGTCAAATACACTTGTAATGACTGGCTTCTTGAACCTAGTCTGAATTTGATAGCACAACCTGCCATTTTGCTATGTCCATTTGAGCCCCGAACACCCTGTATAAAAATAAAAGTGCTGCTTCACTTTGCCCACATTGAAAACAAAAGTTGAAGTGATGACGATTCTAAGACAAGTTACATATTTAGAATTATTAAAGGTGAAAGAAGAATAGTTGTCCTATGAAGTTAAATAATTCAAGAAATTGCAGAATTATTACCGTTAATTCTTGTTCCAAAAGTACTTATTTCTAAAATGCATGAATGAATGGAATAATTTACGAATTAACCTCCTTGTTCTTGCATTGCTGATATTTTTCTTGGCAAACAAAGAAATAATTGTTTGTGTACGAGGGCGGTTCGATAAGTATGTAGCCTCACACATCGGTCGGTGAGGCTCTAACGCCACTAACGCAAGAGAAACTTACTATCGCATAGTAAATTCGTGTACACGGCTACTGTCAATATGTCAGCCGAATCGGACTCGAAGTTTTGTTTTGGCCGTGTGTGAAAGCGGGCGTGTCCGCAAATTTTGGAAAAATGGGAAAGGATCAATATCGGCCGGTGATTCGATTCTTGTTTTTGGAAGGGAAATCGCGCAGCAAAATCAGAGAGCGCTTGGAAGCTGCGAACGGTGAATCTTCTCCTCCGATGGCGACCGTCAAAAATTGGTTTATGGTAAAGAGTTTCAACGTAGGCTACAGTGGTTATTTCTTTTTGATAAATTTATAGCAGCTAATTTATTTACTTCCCTCGTTCTAAGAGTACTTTATTTCTAAACCATAAATTAATATAATAACTAACCTGGTTGTTTTGCATTGCTCACATTTTTCTTAGCAAATTAAGAAATAATCGGCTGCGAAAATGTAAGCTACAAAGGGCATTTTTTTGTCAAATTATTAATAGCTACTTTATTTCTTTTACCAGATCCCTGTTTTATATTTTCTGCCCTTTCCAGGACCAGTGCATGCTTCAGCTCACCTTGCTGGCCCAGTTCACGCACCAGCTTTCTTGGCAGCACCTGTAGCTGGTGGAGTTACATACTCGGCACCTGTTGCAGGAGGGGTGTACTACACTAGAGGTTCTGGACACCATCTGGTGCCTAGCACAGTTGCTGGTTTCGGGTTTGGAGGTGAGTGTGTTTATATATACTAAGTGACATATAAATCCGAACCCCCAGTTTAAATGGTTTTATTTTAATAAAAGTTGGTGAATGTATTTATCTTACTATAAATAACAAGTGAAAAAATTTTCACCCTTATCAGTTGGATATTCCGGTTTTTATACTGCTTTTTTTAATTCACTAACGCTCTGAAAATGAATATTTCAGCCGCAGTAAAGAATCAACGTTGGCGGATTTTGGTTCTTGACATCCTTTACGATCGGTTACGATGCCTAGAGTACGGAGACCTGTACGATTTCGTCAATTTAGTGAGTTTGATAGGGGCCGTATAGTGGGACTTCGGGAAGCTGGACTTTCTTTTCGGGCGATTGCAGTTAGAGTGCAAAGAAGTGAAGACACTGTGGTTAGGTGTTGTCAGGCATGGCTTCGAGAAGGCCGTACGCAAAGAGCAAGGGGCACTGGACGCCGCCGTAGAACAACAGACCGTGAAGATCGCCGCCTAAGATTATTGGCCTTAAGGGACCGTTTCTCCACTACCAGGTCCATTGCAAATGAATGGTTTGCAGAACACGGAAGACCTATTGGCATGCGAAGTGTTTACCGACGAATGAGAAGTTTTGGCTTGTTTTCATACCGGCCACACTGGGTCCTCCCTTTAACTCGAGAACACCGACGTAATCGCCTTGAGTGGTGCAGACAACGGTCACTCTGGGATCAGGAATGTAACAGTATTGTCTTTAGTGACGAGTCTCGATTTTGTTTAGGCATGCACGATGGTCGTGCCAGGGCTAGAAGGCGACGTGGTGAAAGGAAGAATCCACAGTTTTTTGTTGAAAGACATGTTCATCACACTGTTGGAGTTATGGTTTGGAGTGCTATAGCTTATGGTTCCAGGTCACCTTTAATCTTCATCAGAGGTAACATGAACGCGCAGCGTTATATCCACGAAGTTCTAGAACCCCATCTTTTACCCTATCTTGACACTCTGGCAGATCCAACTTTCCAACAAGATAATGCCGACCACATGTTGCAAGAGTCACAATAGACTTCTTTCAACATAATGATGTCACATTGTTACCATGGCCACCAAGATCTCCCGACTTATCCCCAATTGAGCACGTGTGGGATATGATGGGTAGGAGATTGCTCAATTTGCAACGTCCTCCTCAGACTCTAGAAGCACTTCGAGAGGAGTTGGTGGTTGCCTGGAATGAGATACCACAGGAGGACATTGACCACCTGACCAGAAGCATGCCTAGGCGCGTTGGAGAATGCGTAGCACATCAGGGTGCATCCATACATTATTAAAGGTCAAAGGGCTTTAAAGCAGTGCAATCATTTTGAAATTTTTATCATTTACTTATTATGCTTCATTTGGTACTTATACAAAATTTTATTAAAATAAAACCATTTAAACTGGGTGTTCAGATTTATATGTCACTTAATATAGTTCATAAGAGGGAAGAAGGGTAGTCCTGGGAGCCTTGTTAAGATACAAACTGAAAGTTCTGTAGGATGCAGCCACATCGTAACGAATTCAGGCAAGAAAGAATAATTATAATATATATAATATATAATTTTCCACAAGTAATTTATTGCCCTTTTCGAAAATGGGTGTGATTTTTGACAGTTCAGCTGTACAGAAAAATGGCCCGAGAGCACCGACTTATTAATCAATAATGGTAAATCATACGATAATTCCTCAGCGCAATTCTCTATCAAATCAAAAAGCTGTTATTCCCATAATATTGGTGGGAACATTTTAAAACAGAAATGGCGGTTGCCGATACAACGGAAAATCGGTATGTAAAGAAGAAATATTGAGAGGATACAAAACGATGATTGCATATCAGCGTTTTGACAATCTACATTCGGAGGTAGGGAGGGGGCAGACTTGAGAACCAAATACTAGTGCACACATGTGTTGTTTGATGACAACTTTCCATTGAAAATAACATGATTGTTTTTAGGCCATTCCGGTTTCGGTGGCTCTGCTGGGGGACCTGGTGTTTCAGGAGGAAAGGGTGGCGCAAGTGCAGGGAGTTCAGCGGGAGGCAAAGGCTCCTCCTCCCATGGTACGTCACATGGAGGTCATGGAGGGTCCCATGGGGGTAGTAAAGGTCACGAAGGCAAGGAGTGGTGATATCATTGAAGTAACGTGTGGGTTGTGGTAGATGTAGGTTAAGTTATTTTTGTATTCGCTTTTATTTATTTGTGTTTATACATGTTTATTTAAATAAATATACGATGGTTTTATAATACGTCGACTTTGTTATGCTTTCTCAATTTGCGTTCCTCTTCATATGGTAGGTCCTGCTGGGAGCAAGTGCCCCTCTTCCTCCTATGGTGGGTTCCATGGAGGATCTGATGATTTCCATAAAAGCAGAGAACGATGCTGATACCCATTTATTTGAACAAGTAGAATGACTATATTAAGATTACTTTCCTCTAACGATTTTATGAATACCTCTCCATTTTGGATATTCAGGTCCCTAAAGTACGTCACTAGAAATCGGTGTCAGAATCGGTAAAACAGTTCTGAAACAACTTTGTTTTTAACAAAACCGAATCGCTTTATCAAGATCAGACAAGAATACATTTTTTTTCAGTAAAGGGTCAGGATTTTCAAAAATATTGTCACCCTGTAAGCCTTTGCACGCGCCAGCTCGCTAGCACCTAATCAGCCGAAGTGAGAGGATACGGTGATTATAAAAATTAGTCGGGCTGACACGTGAGAGCATTCCCGATATAGGGGCAGTCCCCCTCTAGAGGTCAAATGTTGTCATTCTTCGCTGCGAGAAGACCAGTGACACTATAGTAAGTACCTTTTTATATGATTAATAGAGTTTATTTGTGATTACTTGCGACTATATGTTCTTTTAGCAGCCACTTACAGGGCCAAGCGAAACTACTCAGCCTCGAGCAACTGTAGCCCCCGAGTCACAATTATTTATTAGTATCGATCATTTTTGTGGTACATTTCATTTTTATTAGCCCACCTACATAATGTGACAATATTATTTTTTTGTCATTATTATACCGAGTGTAAAACATTTAGGGCTGTATCGTCATTCGTTCCTACAATTGTAAGACCCCTTTATGGCCTCCTTGATTATCATAGTCTGTTCTCTCATTCAGAAAGCCTGGGGTATTTCTTGATTTCTCCTGTTCCGTGCCAGTGTCAGCGCTCTGCTATTGTGAAGTTATGTTTTTGTTTTGAATTGTAACAAATTTTAGGCTGATAACACATGATATAAATCAAAAGAATGATAAATTTGATACAAATAGATATTTGTGACATAACCTCAAAATATAGCGGTGTCACGGAACAGTTGAAAACTATGAACGGTCATAAAGGCGTCCTACAATTGTAGGAACGACTGACGATATGGCCCTAAAGGCCAATTTACAAGCTCTGACGTTCCGCACCACTGGCATAGCGTTGCCGTAACGCAGAACTTTAATCATGGGCTTGACATTAAACTGTTTTATATGTTACCGGACAAACTCGATTTTAACCCCTTACCACATACTGTCCCAAATTTGGCACACGTGAAATATATGTTATTTTTCAAGTCCCCCAACAGCTAAAGACCTTAACCTGAACTGTTCCATATCTGGCACGCTCGCTTCTCTATCGCAAAGAAACATTGTCGCCCTCTACCACGTATTTTATGAATTGCGTCAGATTTCGTTTAGCGGCCCGTACGCACGTGTTGGGGCGGCCATAAAACGTTCAAAAATCAAATTTTTGGTGCAACTAAAATTATATACGTTCTGGTAAGTATTTCTTATTGTGACTTTTGTAAAATTATGTCCTTTAACTCATACACATGTTGATTTATCGTCATTTGTTTTCTTGTGCCATAATCGGAACAACTTGCAGTAAAAGAAAAGCTGACTATATTATTGGCCCTTTTTTCAGATGGATGCAAAACGATTTTATGGTGCTACAACTGTTGGGATTTCGAACTTGAGTGGCAGTGAAGATGAAAATTTGTCAAATGATGATTTTTACCGAAAAACATTTTCTCAAGTTCTGGTGGAAGATACCAGTGAAGAAGAACAGCTTGGTAGAGAGATGGTCGAAGATATTGTGATTGAAGAAAGTGATTTTTCCGATAGTGAAGACGATCTTCCCCTTTCAACTCTCATTGCAGCAAACAAGGCAAAGAAAAAAAACAAGGTTTGTTTTGATTGGGGAGATAAACAGTTGAGGGTATCTGACGAAGACATATTATTCAAGGCGTCTCAGTCCTTAGGAAAAGATATTTTGAATTTGGGTGGTAAATTCGAATTTTTCAAGTTTTTCTTTACGGATGACAAACTGGTACATATAATGGAACAGACCAATTTATATGCTATCCAATGTAGGCATGAAAAGCCACCAAATATAACTAAAGAAGAGATAAATATTTTCATTGGAATTTGCATATACATGTCTGTAGCGCACCTGCCATCCACTAGAAGCTATTGGAGTAGTACACTGAGAGTTACTGCAATAACCGAAGCTATGACATGTAACAGATTTATAATATATATATATATATATATATATATATATATATATATATATATATAAATAAAACGTTTTATTCACTTCAATGGTAATACGAAGCATCAAAATCGCGATGAACCTGGTTACGAAAAGCTGTTCAAAATTCGTCCTTTTTTAGAAAAAGTACGAGAGAGGTACCTACTTGTCCCAAAAGAAGAGCATCTTGCAGTTGACGAACAAATTATACCAACAAAAGCTCGATCAACCCTAAAGCAATATAACCCAAAAAACCTCATAAATGGGGCTATAAAGTTTTCGTACTAAACGGAGTATCAATCTTCAGTTATGATTTCGACTTCTTTTCTGGGCCAACTAAGTTGCAGCCTTATCAACCAGATCTTGGGGCAAGTAGTAATGTGGTAGTGAAACTTACAGTTCCAAGGAATCAAAATTACAAGGTTTTTATGACAACTGGTTCACCGGCCTTCCATTACTGGGTTATCTCAGCAAAGAGGGCATTTTGCCTCTTGGTACTGTCCGCAAAAATCGTGTGCCAGATTGCGAATTTCCTAAGGAATCTGTGATGAAGAAAAAAGGTAGAGGTACAATAATTATGGAGAGAGTTGCTCAAGTCGAAGGCGTAGATGTTTCAGTAGTTTCCTGGTATGATAACAAAATAGTTACCACAGTATCAACTTACGTAGGCAGTTGGCCCATTTCCGAAGTACAGGGATTTTGCAGAAAGGAAAAAAGTACATTATGATTCCTCATCCCAAGAGTATAGAAATATACAATAACTGTATGGGAGGTGTGGATCTACTTGACTCGATGTAAGGATACCATAGGATACTTATAAGGTCAAAAAAATTTTACCTTAAAATATTTTTCCATTTCATCTACATGTCGTGCTGTAATAGTTGGATATTGTGGAGAAGAGCTCTCACTGAGAACTATTTGCCACTGGCTGAATTCAAACTTGGTTTAGCAGAAATTCTAACAAGATCCCACGTAACTTCTAAAAAGCGAGGCAGACTGAATAGCTCACTACAGCCTCAACTGAATTTAAAAAAAAGGAAATATCCTTTTGCGGAAATACCAGCCCAAGAAATTCGTCGCGACAATGTGAGACATCTTCCTGAGTGGCATGAAGATCGCCAAAGATGCAAATTTCCTGAGTGTAAGGGGAAAACACAAGTTTGATGTGATAAATGTAATGTTAGATTATGTTTGAACAAAGACCGTAATTGTTTTCGCCGTTTTCATCTGGAGTAAATAAATGTTTATTCAAAATTACATTTAGTTTAGGTGTTTTCCCATGTATTTTTAACGATTTATAACATATATGGTTTCAGTAAATTTTTCCGTTATTATTCAACTATTGCAATTTGTGTCAAATTTGGCACATGTCGAAAAAGGCTATTTTTTTTAAAAAAAAGCATCAATATTTTTTTTATATATTTTTCTAGTTACTTTTCTAATATAAACTAGCACATATATTTATTCTAACAAAAACAAAAAAATCATGCAGTAAGGGGTTAAGATAAACTAGTTTTTCCTAGGCCAAATCAGTGTATCTGAAGAGCGATAGGATGAACTAGTTTATCGTTGTCTAAACTGATTTATCATAAAATCAGTTACGTGTGATTAGACGATACTGATTTGTCCTAGTCACAAAAGTAATGTTTTTACTACTAATTGAAGAAAATACTATTATTACAAACATGCTTAATAACTTTTATTATTTACTTGTTATTATACGTCAAACTATTCTGGCATTTCGAGTTGCAGAGAACGTTATTTTTCTGGCAAAGATATCGATTTGACGTACACTTCTTGGTGCAACTACCTGTACACTTAAAGAGGTGATATAATACTTTATGTTATTTTTATTTTCTTCATTTCGTGCGATAAGTTTCTTTACACCTGCGATTTCCACCACATCAAATCTTTTCAGTCTTCTTTGTTGCAAGGGTGATTTCTTTTTCGTTTTTTAGCCTCTTCCACTTGTTGAATAAGTGCCAAATACTTTTCCTTTATCAAAACATCAAAATGAGTTGATTTTTCGTCCTCAGATCTTAAAACCTCTTCCAACAATCTCTGCATCCACTCTTTTTGACCTACGTGTCCACTTGCTGAAGCCTCATCGACGATCACGAGATAGAGAAATACACTCCGAACTTTAGATCAATAAACAACGCAAAAAGTTTCAAAATGTCGAAAAACGAGCAAAAGCCACGCAGCTACCTTTTGACGAGTTCAGTCTAGTTAAATCTCGGTCCGAAGCAGTTCAGTCTAGGACAAATCAGTTTTTCCTAATCATAATTAATTTATTTCAGGATAAACTAGTTCATCCTATCGCTCTTAGGATAAATTGATTTGGCCTAGGAAAAACCAGTTTATCCTAAAATCGGATGTGTACGGTAACATATATGCGAATATTTAAGGGTGTGAATCTACATGAAAAATTAATATTAGTTTGCTTTATAAACTATGGTCCAAAAATGTTTCCTTACAAAGACGTGTTGAAGTTTTGGGAAAAAAATCGAAATTAATTAATATTTTCAGAACCGCATCAGATATTTCACTGATATTTAGTACGTAGTGAAAGTTAATAAAGTTGTATATTTTTCAATGCATAAACAATTTTGCTTCAACAGTGGCGTGCGTACCGGTATTGATTTCGACATTTTTCAAGCCAATGGTTTTTTGCCAAATAAAAATTATTTTTCATTGTTTAAAAAATTGATCTC